GCTCGTTCCGCGAGAGGTTCTTCTTTTTTTACATTACGTCATTGTTTCTCAGTCGCCAGTTCTTGTTGCGCGCTCAAACACGCGCGTTATCGTGACTGTGCGTGCCATTTTTATCCTGCAATTATCCGATCGCACGCATCGCTCTCTTAGTCTCTCTGTACCGTTTCTTGCATCGACGTTGCCCGGTTCTTTCGCGCGACGTTCGTTGTTTGTCGCGTTCACACCGCGCGGATTTTGTATTCGTCCCGGACGGACTTTTGCTTCGTTTCGACTCACGTGATCCGTGATTTACAAAGTGATTCACAAGTTCCCAAAGTGTAAGTCGCAGATTTTTCAATTTATTCATATATATATATATATATGTGTGTGAAATTGACATATAAAATTCCACGTCAAGGTGCGTCGTGTCGAGCGGTACATTGCGAGCAAAAAGGAAAAAAACTTGTTCGAGGCAGCATTGAAATTTTACATGGCGAAACATAACGGTAGTAATGACAAATTAACTTTCTCCGTTGGTAGTGGCGGTAGACGGTCTCACTCATCGTACAGATTGCGTCGATAAATCACGGTTAGATTGTATGCCGAAAGGTTTCTCGATAGATCGTTCGACTTGAGTCGGAAAGAAGTGGCGCGGCATTAAGTGCGCTCTTCTTACGAGTTTGTTGGGAGCGTCTCGCACACAGGGCGTCTCGGCGAGAGAATTTGGCCCCCCCCCCTCCCCGGACCAAAATTTTCGCGCAACCCGTCTGTGAACGAATAGAAATCGGCAACGATAATGGCGTGTATCATCTCGAAGAGAGTTCACTCGCACATGTGAGATGATTATCCGATCGCAATCGCGCACGGGACTTTGCTTCTTGAAGAAGAGTCTCGGGGTCGAGAGATCGCTCATTCGTTCGAGTCGTTTCAGTCATCCTAGAGGATGCGCGGAAGCGTGTGGATTTCGTCAAACGCAACGAGATCTTTTTTACTCTCATGTCCTTCGGGAGCCACACGCGTCTCCGTCAAATGTTTGCGACGTAAATGGTGACGAACGTATATTTAGACGTCCCCGTTTTAGCCGGGACACCCCGTAGAAAACGAGCCGTGGGATGATCTATTCTTCGAAACAATTTAAGCGGTCCGACCGCTGTTGGTCATCGAATCGCTCGGAGGTACAGCCGCGCCCAGAGAGTTATCGGCCGGCCCGTCTCAGATTAATCTCCATTCTGTTGTGATATCGGGCCGATTTTTCGCCAGTCACGATGCCCGCGTCGTTACGCGTTTTCCATCGATAAACCGATACCGTTCAGAATGCGAACGTGCCGCGGACCTGCAGTCATGCTCTGAAAACCGAGCTGTTGTGTACACGCGCGATATATTAATAAAGTTACTAACGCCGAGAGAGGCGGCAATATTTTGACAAGCGCGTTCCCGCGCTGTTTATCGCATATATTAAATAATGGAACGTATCCGCTCGATCGCGCCGGCTCTCTATCGCTGTTAACATAATTTCAACGAGAGCATATTCGCTCGCCTGGTATCCAAGATTTGAAGTCGCATTAAGTCGTAAGGTCTATTCCACTGCTTGAATCATGTGTGTGTGTGTGTGTGTGTACGGTCGTGGTTAGAGAGAGAGGATGTCCGTAATTTTGTGCGCGAATTTCCGAACTCATTCGTCTCGCCCCCATTGGGGTAAAACGCTTCCGTTAGGGAAGAAATTCTCCCATTGAATTAAACGGGTTTATACTCGCGCGGGAAATCACGAAGGCGCTTTGCTTCGCTTGCTTCGCTTTGCGTCTCGTCTGCCGTTCCGGAGCGGGAGGTCGATTTTCGTTTCATTGGGCCTTCAGCCCGCTAATTGTTAATCTCGCGCGACGTGAGGTAATATCGAGTCTGTTGAATTATTCAATCTACAGCCGTTCTAAAGTTATCTACTTTTACTATCGCCGCGAGTCCTCGCGTGATTCGACGTGGGTTTCACTCGTCGCCGGCCGACATAAGGACACATTATCGCGCTGCCGCGTGACACAACGTAGAGACACACACAGCCCGGAGTGTCTATGCGGAGGCGACTATCGCGTCACGTGTTCTCGAAGGAGAACCCGCATCTTCGGCGTTATCGTCGTACATTACGCCCATCCGTCCGCGAGTCATTTCCTGTATCGCGCGCGCAACTTATTCCACGATATCACTGTCACACACAGTCCTGCGAGGACTCGCCGCTTCGGCAAGTCAGTCGAGGTACGGTCAGGCGATGTCTCGACGTTTCCATCACCGCATCACCGGGGAAACTCGTCGTCGAGGGAAAAGTAATTTCGCGCCGCGGATTTGACTAGTCTCGCGTGTGATCGTCGCCGCAGCGTGCGCGAGGTTGTTGCCTCAACCTCACCGTCGAGATACTTGAGATGAGCCAATGACACCTTGACAAGTACGAATGATCAGAAACCAGTTGTGCGGAGAGCTGGAAAGACCGGACGCTTTTAATTTCTATCTCGGGGAAAGAATAGCCTCTCCTGGAACTATCTCTCATGTTCTTCACGGCCATTCTGCGCTTCTCCCATTTCCAATTTCCCGTCCTTTTGATCTTTCCAAATCTGCCCGCTCTGCGTTTTCCGCGGATCTCGAGCTGCACGTGATTACTCTTCCCACGCGCAGTCCCGCTGTCCAAGAGACCGCGTTTCTCTCTCAGATGTTTGATAATCTCGTTTCTGGCTCATTTGAAATTATTTACAAATTGCTTCGTTATTGAGGTCGCACAGCACCAACGCTTGGACATGTACGTACCTCAACCCTGAGCATTTTTGTTTTACCTTCATCTTTAAATACGAATATTTAAATTGTCAACATGTCGCATGTGTATATATATATATATATATCTCAAAAACAACGCGACGTATATTCTATGTTAAAGGTTTAAATATTCTTATTTAAAGACCGAAGCAATAAGAATGTCCAGGACTGGAGGTACGCGTCCGACATTGATTTTCTGCCCAAGAATAAATGTAAATATCAAGGACGTGGGAATATCTGCGCCGTTGAAATTCCGCACTTGATCGTGCGTGTAGCCGACGTGCTGTGGAAATTACAACGAGGCGCAGTATCGCCGAATGTCAATAACGCAATCAACAACATCCGCGAACCGCTACCGATGCAGCGATCTCCCGGTTCATCTCACGTTCTCGCGGCAGCGTTGACCCTGCAGCGCGCGCGCGGATTCAACTATAAATTACACACCACTTTACCTTGGATAAGGTTGGTCGTGTTTCTCTCCCTCCCTCTCTCTCTCTCTCTCTCTCTCTTTTTCTCCGCGAGCGCGCGCACACGCGGCGACTCACTTTACGATTCTTCTTCGATATCTGTCGCTAAACTTTCCCATGAAAGCCAACGCGTCCGTCCTACCGCAAAGGTTACTCACTCGAGTTGCTGTACGCGCGATAGATTCTACTTCTTTATGATCTTACGGTGCGCGGTGCGGCGCACATTTTGTCGCAAGCTCTACCTTACTTGCAACTTATCCGATTTCATTCCTGCAGCCGTACGCACATTATTATTACGTACGTGTTACCCCGCGTGTCTGTGTGCCTGTGGCCGGAATGTAGACCGAAAGTTACGAAAACGTGTATCGACCTCCGTTGAGATACTGTACCGAAAGATACCGTTTCGATATCGCGTTTCTCGCATACTCGTCGCGCAATAACGAGACGAGTGATCAAACGAGAGAAATAAATCCACGCCACGACGGACGGAGAGGCAAAGTTCCCGGCAGAGCGGCCGGGAATTTTTCTCGCGTTTTGTGAAACGTAAAATGTCTTATTAACACGCCTATCTATCCGCGCACACGGTTCACTCCTCGGATCGGTCGAGCTCCGGAAGAGTCGAAAAGAAATGCGCAAAAAGAGTCTCACGAGCACGCACATTGTGCGTAACAAGCCGCTGCCGACGCGACGCGGCGGCGAGCAGCGCTGGCTGGTCGGAGGTTCCTCGCAGCGTTTCGCGATTTACGAGCGGCCGTAATTTAATTCTTTCCATTTATTAGCGGTGACTGACCTTTTCCGCGAAACGTCGCGTTCTACGAATAAAGTCATCCGCCATCATCCAGCTCGGTCTATGTGCCGAGCTGCTCATATCCTGTGCCGCGGAGGAGAGAGAGATATTCGCACTTTCATAACGGCCCCGGCTCTTCGCCGTCGCGGGGGCCATTCGGGGCTCTCGGGTGCGGGGCAGCGGGAAACGAAGCGAACAACGAAGCCGATGTAAGAAAGGCCGTTTTATTGTAAGGAAAACAAAAGTGTTACTCGCGGCGAATCGCGCGAAAAAGCCCCGCGCCGCCGTGAAAGCAAACCGCGCGATCGCGTCGCGCTGTGAGATAAGTAGAACAATCACACATAATCATATGCAATCTATCAGAGAAAGTGGGCTAATATCGGCCGTTGCGAGTGATACCCGACACCTTTGTTTCTCGCGAGATTCGAAGTCGCGATTTGAGGAAGCGCGAACATGCACGCGCACACGCGGCCGCGACGGGAGAGCCCGCTTTACGCGGGGCTTGCTTGGCTTACTTCGCGGAAGCAATAAAGAATTTTAACGTTTCTTTTGTGCGCGCACACACACACACACATTTAACCTTTATGTTCTGCTCGGTGTGCGCGCTGTGTCGGTTAATGTTCGCGGGATGTGGACTCCAAGTGCGCGTTGTGCGCTTACTTTCTTCCGATCCGATCTTGCCGACTCGCGGCGAATCTCGCGTTGCTCCTCGCGCGTCTTATTAATCACTTATTAGCGCCGTTAAATACTTCGATCCGAACGCGAGCGCGTTAAGATGCTTTGTCGCATTTCGTTACGTACGATTATGCGTGCACATCTGCACGCGGACGCATCGTCCACACACGAAGAGACTCTGCTCTGAGGACGATCGCGGAAGGAGCGCGGGCGAATTTAATTTTTATACCATCTCAGCATTGTCTTTGATCCTTCCTCTTTGTGATGACGTGAGCCGTGGCACACTGCCGTTGTTCCAGGTACTCCAACGAGACATAGAGGCGCACGGTCGTATCGTCAGCTCGGTAGTGAAATTGGGAGACAAGGTTTTCACGCAACAACAGCAGCAACGGGAACAGGAACAAGAACAGCAACAGCGAGAACAGCAACAGCACTCTCCGCAGTCCCCTTTACGGACAGTGAGATCATTGGAACGGCGTTGGCATCTTTTATTTCTACGGGCTTTGGAATGGCAGTGTCACATTGAAACTCTTGTGTCCCACATAAGAAATAAGGTAAGTTCCGACATTATTATTACTTATTTCTTACCTCCTTCTCAAGTAGATCAAAATAACCTTATATTCAAAATAAATCTATACATTCAGCATCTTAAATAATATGACTACAAACGAGAGAGAGAGAGAGAGAGAGAGAGAGAGAGAGAGAGAGAGAGAGAGAGAAAGTATATATATATATATACACGTGTGTGTCAATTCTCATCAAGGATTCTTTTTCATCGTTTCGTATTTGTACACACAACATGTGAGCTTTCGAAAATATCGCCGAGTTCACGGGTCAAAGTTGCAACGCGATCTAAAAATGCGCGTCGTCAGAAGTGTGTCAACGAGAGCTATCCAAAGCGGTAGAAGGGCGACTCGGCAGGGGAGGAGTTTCTTTTCGTACTTAAATGGATAATAATTCCGTTGCACCGTAGTGTATATGGTCCCGTTAAGACATAGATTATTGCTCTCGCCTTGTCGAAGTACCGCTTTGAATATTTACCGGCATTTCATTCCGTGAGCGTTGGGTCCCGCTATGCCGGTCGTAATAATTAAAGCCAAACTAGTGGGAAATTGCGTCTGACAACGTCTGATCGATGAGGATGAACGAACGAGCGATGTCAAGAGATTGAGGGTGGGCACAAGCCGTAATCTCCTAGTGGATACAATTGATGGAGCTGCCTCACAATTGATCACTATTGAGAATAGTATATTGAGCGGCACGATTACGCGCCTTATTCGCCGCTTGAACGGAAGGAAAGCTTTAACAGAGCAAGGCTATATTTTAAACACATTCCATTGCGGAATGTCCGCGCAGCGCGCGGTCCAATTCGCGTGAATAAAAACTCTCCTCGCCATTAAATAGAAATTTAATGGCTTACGCGCATTGAAAAGCAAAGTGAGAAAAAGAATTGCTCATTTCACGATTAATGCTTGGTACGGAGGTTTTAACGCGCGGTCGGTTAAGGTTGTAAACTTGTAAATAATTTGACAAATCCGTGACGAAGTTTGCCCGACTGATGCGAGATTCGCTTATAGTTATGTTTAAAACGGATAACTTGTCTTAGGTCAGATATGTCGGAGGGGAGTCTTTTCTTTGTTACATTTAGGCTTTTAATTCTCGATTTCGGATTCAACTTGATGTTTCAGTTGTCCGGTTAAAAACTTGAAAATTTTAATCTAAAATTGTTACACTTACGCTTAAATTTGCGCTTAGTGATATTTAAAATAGTCGACCTATTTAAATTAGAGGAGAACTTTTTCTTTGTTGACAAATCTCAACGTACATAGCAGTGCCTATATATTAGCCGGCATGTAGAAAATAAATTCAGCAAACACGCCGGTGTACTTTTCGTACCTGCTACGATCCCTATCCCTACCTTCTCATCCTTCCCTTTACCTGTTTGTTCCGAAAGGCTTTGTTCCACAAGATCCAGCTCAGGTATATTCCGTTGTCAAGGATATACGGAAACTGTCCTACACCTACCGATCATCAGTTTAGCAGACCTCGTCGTACGTGACGCACCGCGCTGATAGTGAGTGATAAGTTTATTAATACAAGATAAGTGCCGGCTCCTCCGCTGTCACGTCCGCCCGATGTTTTGACACTTGAAAACTCGTTCGTTTAGTAACTTGAAAACTTGAAAATACCGCGAGGATCGACGTCGGCGTTGTCGCCGATCGCTCGGCTAAGGAGACTACTCGGTCTAATTTGATGTTTCAGAACGTCGTGTCTTACCGCAGCAGCAGCGACAGCGACGAGGAACCAGTCACGAAACAGCCTCGTCTCAGCCGCGGACGATCGCGCGGTTCTGGAACGGAATCCCCGCCGAGTCAGTCCACTCGCTCGACGCGCACCGAACGCGCGAAGCGCGTTGGACGCTCGCGATCCGAGTATTGGGACCGTCCGGTCTCCGCGAGGACCACCGACCTCTCCGACAGCGAGTTTTCTTCCGAGAACCGATCCGTCGGCGAAGGATCGTACTTCGAGGTACGTACCACTCGCCGATCACGAACGATTTCTTCGGCGTTTGACCCCGAAGCACCGTATTTAATTCAACTTTGGCCAGACGCGAGTTCGTCCCGTGGAAACCGATTCCGTGAGACCGATTATCCGTCGTGATTTAGAACGCTCCCTATTATCGGAGCACCGTCACGACCGCATGACGAATATAGCGAAGGATTGCGTTTTCTGAGGGACGAATATTAAAGTCGGAAAGACGAAGAGGAATATCGAGAATCACGCGATCGACGGCGTGAAACAAACTGTGTTTGTTTCACGGTCGTATGTAGAATAATACGACAAAAACTGAACGATTTTTTCAAAGAGAGAGAAAGAGAGAGAGAGAGATGAGTTTCTTTTCAGTGTATAAATACAATTTAAATTTATCATATAAGAAATTAAGTCGGAAGACGATGATTATGTCAATACACACAATATGTTTAGCTATCACAGAGAGAGAGAGAGAGATACATCTATCCGAATTTTTGCGACACTCGATGTGAGAGGCGGTGTGTAAAAAATCCCAAGGCATTCGCTTTTCCACGTTTTGCGAAAAATTACCAAACACAGGAAATTATTCGCAGTCGTTCCGCGAATCGACAATTGCTATTGTTCCCCATACCACGATCGCGAAACGTCTGTTACGAGTCATTGACCCGGTTTTCGAGCGCTGCGCGATTCATGCGTAGAAATATTAGCTGCTCCCTTCTACGAGAGTAGAAGCGCGGAGAACATTCTTTCGATGCGAACGATAATGTGGGCGGACTTTGTTTCAATTAATTATATATATATATATATATTATGTTATTTATTATTTAAGATAAATTCGCATGCGCGCGCGCATGCTCAATCGATCTCGATGAGTGCGTCCGGCCAAAATACGTGTGAGAGTCGCGAATGTTAACGCTTCCTTTCCCAAATCTCATAATTGCGCGAGCTACGCTCTAAGCTCGTCACGTAGCGACAACGAGAGAGATAAAGCTTGTTACTATCATTTCACGTTGCGTAGGCTGGAGCGGAGCGCGTATCCGAATGTGTTAAGTGGATGTAAAGTCACGCCTAAGAGAACGCTACGAACGACTTCGTAAAACGGATCGGGCACGCATGTACAGTAAGAAGACCATAGGCAGCAGTGATCTTGACTTGAAAAAATAACGGTTGCCTTTGTAACAAAAACTACGGTATTCGTGTCGGGCGGGGACGTTGCGAAAGACTTTCGAAACTGGTACCTCTTGAAATCGTAGGTATTGATGCACGCTCAAGCTAGATCTCTTTCACTTTGACACGCTATAAGTCTCGGATGTATTACAGGCCCGTCGTATTATACGAGTTTAAGGCGCACAGAAAAAGAGAGGGAAAAAGAGAGAGGTAACTTTTGTCTGTCGATGCCGCGTCGCGTAACCGACAACAAAATTCAGCTGTTCCCTGATACAACGTCGCCGACAATTAATCGCTTATCGCGCGCGCGTGCGCGCGAGAGAGCTCTCCCGAGTAATAATCGGATCAGCATGGAGATACAATAGACGCGAAATGCCTGTTATCGATAATGATATTGATTGTCGACCCCCATGATATTGCGATGCAGGATGAATTGCGCGAGCTGTGTGTGATGGACACAAGGTCCGACGAGCTGGAAAAACGAGAAGCCACGAGTCTGGTCGCGTCTATCCTGGAGGATCACGGGGAGGAAGGTGACGTCGAGGAAAGCGGAGTCAGCGATAACGAGCAACACAACATGCCACCCTTACCGGACACCGTGCCGATAACCACTTCGACGGCGATGCAGGAGACGTGTGACGAAATCGACGCGGCGGGCGCCGTGCAAATCGAGAGCGCCGAAAGATCGAGCAACGGTCTTCGGACGAGCGAATTTACGAAACGTCGCGGAACTACGGACGAGGTTGCCTCGTTCAACACGTGAGTCGCGTTTTTACCCTTCCCTCTTTTGCGTCACGCTACATTACGCTCGTCGATCGCTCGTCATTTTTCTTACGCTTTGTTGGTCACGTTCGCCGAAATAACGTGACATCCGTCCGATAAGCGTCCATGTCCCATATCGTGTTGTTTCCTTGATGCTCAGGTCCGACAGGAAGTCGAAGAACTGCGCTACCTTCTACTTCAAGCATCTCGACACCGACTCCGAGGCGGACGGTGTCCAGCCGATCCAGGAATCGCCTAACACGGTGGACGATTCCTCCGAGGAGGAGTGGACCTACACTTCTTCCCGTCAGAATAGCTCCGTCGTTTCGGAGCAACGAAAAACGAACGTTGTGGTCCGTCTGGACTTCGACGAGACTCCACGCGTCGACGTGTCGGCGAATATGCGCTTCGCGCAGAACACTAGTGTTGTAAGCAACGAAGAGAAAGAGACAGCCGCGGAACAGGCCCGCGGTTGCGATGCTCAACAAAAAGATAGCGATGACGAGAAGCCGAACGACAAGTCGAGGATACAGAGGCTGATCAAAGAAGTGGAAAATCTGATCGGGGAAGAGAGGCATGCCGGCGGCGCCTCGCGCACCTTCCCACCGTTAGTATTCGAGGAGAAGGACATAACGAACAATCATCGAGTCAAATATGCCCGCGTGAAGGAATGGTTGAAGCTGAATGCGGCAAGAGGCCATGAGGGCAGGTCGCAGGTAAGCCATAATGACGCAAAAAAAGTGTAGCAGAAGCGGACGAATGAAATTTTTTTCTCAGATGTATTTAAATGTATTTAAATGTAATCAACACGAAAAGCCTAGCGTGCACAGATATGCTTTATATATTAGTGGCATTTCTCTTTCGCTGGAAAATGACTGTGAATTGACTTTATATTTTTAAAGCTACGTCATCATTGTAACGTTATCTCAAGATATGCGTGAGAACCTGCGATGCTAGATAATGAAACATATGGTATGTGTGCAGTCACGTATAACACTCGTATGTGTACATTACAGCCATTAGATAGCTGCGATGCCAGCGGTGAATATACAACGGAAGAATCTGACGGGGAAAGACAGTCGATATCGTCGGACGATTTGCAGAGCAGCGTCGCGACTTATCGGCGATTCGAAGGCGCTGCCGCTCACATGTCGCCGTCCATGTCGCAGGAAATATTCGATTTCATCGAGAAAACGCCTGTCAATGAGGCGCCTCCTCCTAACGCGATATTAGTAGTAGATACGAATACTCCGAAGGTTGTAATGCGCTCCAAACAAAAAGCGAAAGGATCTCGGCCGTGGAGCGTGTCTTGTATCTCTCAGATCGGGGATAATCCCAATTTAGCTCAAATAAATGATCCCATTTCGCAGTTTTCCATATCTGAGACTGCGCTTCATCAGTTGGTCGCAACTCTGCCGACTAAATCCGTATCGTTGGATGCTGCGTAAGTAGTCTTTCGATAACTTTTCTTTGTTCGTTATCTTTCCGTGTATAAACGAGGCGCGGTTTATCACAGAATGCGTTTATATTGCAGAGAATCACGGAAATCGTTTAACAATTCAACGTCCACTTTGTTAGAGGAGTCTATTATTTGTTCTGACGCTCGTGTAGTTAGAAATATTTCATTCCGCAGAAAGAAAAATAGATTGCGAAAGAAAACTTTGGTAAGAAACATACCACATTTCATTGTGTTAAAACGTTTGTATTACGTTCCTCGAATGCACTTTCTACTTTGTGTTCCGAGTTATTCGACGGATCGAGCTGAGAAGTCGAGTGTAACGTAATATGATTCATCTATCTAGGGCCGTAAGAGCGAATCTAGTTCAGAAAGCGCGCACGCCAATCATCATTCGGCGGGAAGCGATGGTAGCACGAATCAACAACGCTCATCTCGCAAAACGAATCTAAATCGCACAACGCACGCAGTTTCGAAGGACTGCCACGATCGTTCAACGACTCTGGTTAAATCGGGATCTTTCTCAGGCTGTACCGTCCATCAACAGTTGTACGTGGAGAAGGCACTCGCCAATAATCCTACATCGTTCCGACTACTGTGCTGCAAGTCGGTTGCTTCCACGTCAGAGACTGAAGGCGAAGATCGCAATAATTGTACCCAAGGACATTTCACTTACGATAATAATCTGTTGAGTACCGTGCTAAACAAGGAGCTAAACAACCAGCAGCAGTTGAATATGGACAGCGACGTGGAGATGAACAGTCTTGGCAACAATTCCTTCTCTGAACAGGCTTGGGATAATTATCAGGTAATACAAAATTGCACAGTTGCGTTTTTAATATCATATCGTGACTGAGACTTTGTTTGTATCGCCCTCAATCTGCCGATTCACAGGAGAAATACATGAGCGAGACTTACAGCGAGGCGCCGGACGTAGAAACTGCCCGACGATTGTTGGATTTTGGAGATGATTATCGAAATTTCCTCGATAGTCAGTCGGATTGCGCGTCCAGTATGAGCGCAATCCCTGCTAGTTCACCACTGCCTAAAATTCGCACATATCATGTACGTCCTTTAATGCTATTTTTTCTGGATCAAGTATCCATATTTTTTCTATAGAAAAGCCGACATCATAAGATAAAATGAACATGTATATATGTGTATACAATCGAATTAACTGAATATAAATGTATTATTATGTAACCGAGGTAATATCGGTTGCTGCCATGCTCTATAGGGTTCCTCGATGCAATACATATTCACACATGAAGTATTACTGCTTTAGATTATAGTCACGACAAATAAACTTCTCAAGCAGTATAGACGTGTTTTATTTTTGCATGGAAATAGATAAACGTTAGTTATACGTAATGTTGTTATTAGTTGCATGCTTTAAAAAAGATTTGGCAAAGTGACGTTAAGCATAATAGCGAGCATACCTAAGTATATATATATGACAAAACATAAATATATTATAAATTAAAAGACAAAATCTTATGACAAGAAGACATTGGCCTTCTTAGTTGCCTTATTAATGAACAATAAAGAGTTGAGTCTCTTGATATCTATTAATACAACGTCTATGCAATTCTAAAGCATTCATGTATGAAAAATCTGTATATTGTGTCTATATGAGACTTTACTGAAGTTCTAAGAAATTATTGCATGTGCTACGTAATGGCCAATCTACACACGATAGTTACGTAAACCAATTATGTTCTAGGAAATTGGCGACAGCACAGAAGACAGCGATAGTGACGAGGAAGATATACGAAATATCACAGAAAATTCACAATCGCAGCTTATACTCGCAGAAAATTGTTTTGTTAGACCCAATGGCATGATTCCTACAGAATTCGTACGTATATTGTTACACTTACAATATGTGGTGCTTGCGGAACATAGTCCTCTATTCGTGAAATGTTACAGATATCTTAAAAAGCGTTTCTTGCTTTATTCAACACGCATTTTGAGATTAATAATTCTATTAAGTTGGCACGTATTGCATATGAAATACAGTTGAAATAATACTGTGCATGTGAAATATATTTAATATAACATAAGTTTGCGTTATGATATGTTGATTTTTTTATATTATCGCACACAGTAGTCATATAACTTATAATCCTATTGGATGAAATTGCATATATATATATATATATATGTACAAACTACTCTTCTTTATGGATTATTTATAATTAGTAACTTAAGATAAATACTGTGATATTTGTTTAATTATTCTTATGGCATCAATAATTGCATGTTTGCTTAAAATATGTAAATCCAAAAATCTGAAACACAAAGACTTAAAAGATCTAGAGCATGTGACAATAAAATAAAATTTATATGCATTTGTACATATTGATTTGTTATTTTATGTATATTAAGGTTCTAAAAGTTCTTCTTGCCGATTACATTATAACTTAATGTTCTCGTGAATATATAATATTATATTATTCAAATATAAGCGATATAAATATCTTTATTATAGAAATATTACGTGATATAAACATAAACATAACTTGCAATTAATATGACAAACAAATTTCTAGATGCACAAGCAACTTATATTTCTAATTAAATAGAGAAACAGAGAGAGAGAGAGAGAGAGAGAGAGAGAGAGAGAGAGAGAGAGAGAGAGAGAGAGAGAAAGAGAGAGATAGAGAGAAATAATACTGGAGATTACAGTTAAAGTTAATATTGCTTTTATCGTTTTCTTCTATCATGTTTACGTTTCTTCTGTCGCTTTGGTAGAAAGCTTTATAAAAAATACTAATTGCGTTGTAATATGTAATTTTTACGCTAATACTTTTTTTTTATTTCTTAATTATTACCCTAGTTTCTAAATTATTATCCTAATAATCATCGTGTCTTTTCCCTTCTCTTCTACCTCTCTAAATACGCTAATTTACGTCATTGACTTGTGTTGTAGTTGTATAAATAAATTAGTTAATCAATTTGCCTTTCTATCTCTAATAGGCTGAAGTGGAGTCCGCGTGTAAAGAAAACTTAGGGTGTTTGCAGGCTGTGTTGGAATCGCAGAATGGATACTATCGAAATGAAAAATATTTGAAGCAAGTTCGTGGTGAGTACCAGCAATTACTGACTATCAGATCGTTTCTCATAATTGCTGCTTTGTACATTAGCCTTCAAGCGATTTTACTTATTTCTTGATGGCATGCGGTAAGAACTATCTTTCGGAAAAACATCTTTATGTTACATATTTTCAAAAATTTATTTGTACATATACATATATTTTTATATTTTTTAAATATATGTTTATTGTTACAAAGTAAGCTACGATGTAAAGCATAATTGCTTTATATTGTGATATTCGCTTTTATCTTAGATTATCAGTATGATCACGGTTGTTTTTGTTGGATGAACAAATAGATAACAGTATTTTGAGTGCTTATTTGTATTGTATGAAGATCTCTCGTAGTTTTATTTTACAAATTTGCTAAAAAAAAGTAACTACGTCCTTTAGTGTGACTACGCCAAAATTAGTCATAATCTGCTGTCGTTGCGAGATTATCGCTCTAATTTGATCAGTTTAACCAAAGTTCATAATCAAGAACTATGCCCAATATCACGTATTTAGAAAATTGCACACTTTCGACTTTAATCTGACTAATTATATTCATTTATTTTGTATGTTCCTGTTTTATTTTATTTTATATTAAAAAACTTTTATATATCTATTTTTATGTTATATCCGCTTATTAGCATGTATTGTAAAATTTATATTAAATCTATATATTTTTCTTAAACCATTTTCTCCACGTCTTGCGGCCTGTACGGTGATTGTACTTATTAATCAATAAAATATTGCGGCACTTGCAACTGTACTATAATATATTTACACGAATAACTTGTTCTTCTAGTTATAATCTATTTATAAACCGCATCAAAATGACGCGTGAGTACGTTAGGAAAGTAGAGACAAAAAGAAAGTAGGTGAGCGTGTTAGAGAGAAATATTGTCAGAAACAGAAAATAGAAAGCGAGGAGCCGTTATTCTTTAGAAAACATCGTACAACTTGAGGCGTACATAAATACGTATTACGTAACATTCGTATTATTCACGAAAAGGAAAGACAGATATTTGTAATATTATTCCTGGAGATGGTAATATATACGATTGTACGTTACAAGTAAAATAGGTTCTTCAACGTAGTCACACATGCGCATGACACAACGCTTCCGCAGTAACACTTAGATCGACGTTAGAAACGATGCAATTTACTTTCTAGCTGACGAGTTCGAATAAGCGCGCATCCGAGCGTGTAGGAGAAAGTAGAAAATGATAATATCCGCAGTCCTAATGACCACGGCGTATCGCGAATTGTTTCGCACCGTACTCGTATGCATATATGGCGCATAGCGATGTTATTATGTGCCTAACTACTCATTAATTGAATTATCCTTTCGACTATCTCCTCACTCACGTTTAGGCTGGTATCTCAGGAACAATGAGCGGCCGGTCGGATTAACAACAAACTCACTTTGTACACGATAAAGACTCTTATAAATACGCAATTAACAAGTAGCAGATAAGAGCCTGGATCGCAAAACTGTTACATGTACCGATCTGCTAGAATTCCAAAAATCAGCTCCTCCAGACGCACCGGGGTTTAAACGACCGTATGTCCGTACAATATATAACACGATTGTAAACAACGATCAAACAACGATCATATATTCGCGTTCGACTTTGGATTGCACAATTACATGTTCTCGATGGAATCTCGATGCAATAACACGAGTGCACGAGCGGCGAACGACGTGCGTCTGAGATGTTGATTCTGGAAACTCTCGCTTCAGCTACAAGCTCCACGGCCGTACCTTCGATTGCATGCGCATGTTGGACGCGGAGATACGCGTAGGTGGATACGCACGCCGCGAATATACCGCGGCCCGAGAATCGCGCCTTATATGAACTACTATGCTCTATCGTCAGGGTTTGGGAATCACGGTGGTGGTGACGACGTTCGCCGATGCCGCGGGCGCGTTGGCGCGAGGGACGCGACTCGCCGATTGGCTCGCTCGTTTGTATTTGCCGCGATCTAGCGGTCACGTGACGCTGCTCGCGTCGCGAATGCGAGCGTTCGCGCATCGTCAGTGTTTCAACGAGTTCGAGCGTCAACGGACGTTTGCTCGCTCGTCGTCGGTCGTGTTTTATCCGTTACGTCGATCCCGCGAAAGACACCGCGCATTCTGGACTGATCGGTGCGTATTCGTTCGCCTACGTCGAGTTTCACACACTAAGAGCGCGATTCGTCCTCTGATGCTCACACGGAGGGAAATGATCGTCGATGAGAAAGGCCCGCGTATGTATATATCTGCGTCGTTACACTATGCATTATTTTGTTACTGCGCGGTTGGCGGCGCTATATCGAGGTATTCGTCGCGAGTCGATGACTCCTCCGTTGGAGAAAAAGTTTAATTTACCGAGCGACCGACGTAATGAGCGACAAAAGTTGACGAAATTTTTTCTAAATTTTACCAGTCGCCATATTGCTCGAATGAAAGATAAAAAGACGCTGTATCGCTTCGGGCCAGTCGAATCTTCTCGCACAAGGGTCTTTTGGAGGGAATTCACGAGAATTGTCATGTGACTGCATTGTTGTCACATTTTCCTTAACAGTTTGTGCCGTGGCTGTTCGACCGACGTCGAATATCCCGCGATCCGTTGTCGACAAAATGTTCGTTTGAATTTGCCGGTCGCCATGATGTTTTCACGAAAGTACTAACGGTTATCACGAATGCTGCTCCGTACGGTTCGAGAAGTTTCTACGAAAAAAAAACTGTCCCGCGATTCTCCCGTTAGCACGTATCCTTGATACTTTCGGTTTAACGCGGTAACGCGATACTACTGACGACATCAAGCAACGAATACTAACGAAATCGAGTATATATGGAAATCATACACAGCTACGGACAGCTCATATCTAAAACTGCTACGTTACGATGCAAGTGTCGTCAATGCGACTGAACAGTGAGAACAAGTTGGGACGTGAGTCACGAATTTAAAATTCCGAGATTCTTCATATTTCGTGTCCATTAGTTGTTTTCTATATTTACGGCTAGTACGATGTATTGTGCGATCTCTCTCTCTCTCTCTCTCTCTCTCTCTCTCTCTCTCTCTCTCTCTTTCGCGAGACGAAGAAAGCGTGCAGTTATCTCAATCATTGCCTTTCCCGCGTTATTGTCGCGAACGATAATGACACGTCGTACAACAGGTTCGTTCGCACAACAGGTCCATTAGCTGTCAAATCGATCAATCATCCTTTCCCTCGCGATATCGCTGCCTGAAACGCGGTCGGTCGACTCGTGCTCGTAATCGTCGCTCCACTTTTGCAGAACGAAATGAGAGATTGCGATTAGTTTCGGGAAAGTTATCGTCTACGGGTCTACGATGAAACGCGAGACGTGAGCGAGACGTTGCATTTCAGGCATAAAAACATTCATCGTACGCGCGTACGTGCATTAAATCCCGCCGGTAGAAAGCTCACTGCGCATTTGGTCGTTACATAAAAGCGAGTTCGTTCCAATTTTAAATTTACGATTAGATGCGTGAGCGCGTGCGGGCGTGTCCGGTCTCGTGAAATTTTCACGACGAAAGGCGGTAGCGTGTCGTTTAAAAAGACAGGGACGAGCCGCATTCAATGCCAATTTACGCTCCGGCGATCGTACGCGACGAAGCATACGATAACACACGGTACATTCCGCTGTGCGTACGTGTGTATGTGTGTGTATGGGTGTGTGTTTTACCTCGCATGTGTGTCCGCACGTATAAGCTTCATACGCGCTATTACGTTCTCACTGCATCGCGCACGGTTCATCATTTCCTGTAGGTCAGTGTAAAATCTGGTACTTTCTATACGCATCAAATTTTTCCTGCAGCATTCCTACAGCGCTCCGTTTTTCCCAGCTATCTTCCGGACGCATCGCGCGGTGTCTCGGTGTGCAGTTTTTGCGACTTACTGGATCCGCGCGATTCGCACGGTTCGCACAATATGCTTACGCGGTGATTTCACCGTTATTTATTGTCCGCTAGATACAATGCTTATATCGCTCGAAGTGATTCCGGTCTCGGTTTCGGTCTGCAAAAAAGCGGCCAGTATAAAAGAAAGCGGCGAACAGGCAAAAGAGGTCACGGAAGCCGTACGGTATAGATATAAGTCTGTTGACCTTCAGATTTTTTTTCTACGTAATTGCTTTACGTAACTAACCAGTGAAAATCGTTTAAATTGTCGCGGAAAAAAAACCGTTATAACGGATAGCAGCATGGCCCCCAGAGTACGGAAAAGAAAAACATACAGGGAAGTAATTGCCGGTCTCTCCTTCCGCTCCTTGGCGTTTCCGCAAAGTTCGTCGAAGAAAGAAAAGCAGGAAACGGTCGATTATACGAGTGCGCGCATGTTGAGTATTAGGAAGGGCATATGTTGTATTATGTTAAATTACCGTGGCACCTAATAACATAGGAAAGTAAACCATCTCGTGCGCTATTTCGTTAAATTAATTATAGCGTTATCTATTACTTTCTCATATAAGAGAAGCCACATAAAACTGTACATTAGATTTTGTTGCATCACCGTGAAGAAATAGGAATGAATTTGCATTTCTTCGTTTTTTTTCCTTTTATAAATAATTCAAAGCAGATACAACATTCATTCGACTTTAAATACTTTCCACCGAGTGAGGTTTCTATTTGTTTACTTTATTGAATGTTTGACTCGGATGTAACGTCAAGTATTATGATTTGCCTTATGTATTTTATCAACAAACTAAACTACATTGCGCATGCTTTTAGGTATGATCGAAAGATGGAAGACTTTGGCGTCGCAAGTCAAACAGGCGCAAATGGCCAGTTCTCTTCATCGCGAAGTTGCTGCCATGCGGACGAAGCTCAAAGCGACGCACGATCGATTCGTTGATTGCGAAATTGTCTTGGAACAGCCGCACGTGCTTGATGATCGCATTAATACAATCACTGTAAGTCTACTTTTATATCTATATTTATATTGGTTACCTCGTACATGTGCGTTTATTTGATGGTTGTTTCTAAAAAGGCATGTTTATGCATCACGTCAGAAGTCAATTAGGTTTAGGTATGTGTATATTGAAAGCACTAAAGAGAGAGGTACTATGTACAAGATACATATATCTATATATTTCATTTTCTTAAATTGTTTAAGAATAGCTTTAAAGATATAGAATAAATGTAAACCACGTGGATTGTAGAATTCTACAATATTTTATTTGAGACATTCTTTGGTAAAATTGGGCAATAATTTTGAGATAAATCATAAAAGAAGACATAATTACAATACTTCTCATTGATGCAATCGCGGTATATGCGTTTAATACCTAATTTGTTTGAACATTTTATTATTGAAATATTGGTTAGAAATATTATTAGAAATAGATAGTTTCTACCAACAATGAGCAAATTTCACGTGCAATACACTGTCGATAAGTGGATACCGGTAGAGACACATCCGCTAAACGAGAGATCTTCTATTTCAACTCGATTGATATAGCAGGGATTCATCTGTTTTCATTCGTCTCGCTTAAATGATAATTATGAAATTTTACTTTTCTCAAGAAAAGAGTACATCGTATTTACCAAAACGTAGCGGCCGCATTTAATATGAATAAAGTCCTTCTTTCTAATGTCTTTTAGTGCTATCTTAAAAACTGCACGTTGTAAAATCTCATTGAAAGATTTTGTAAGTTGCCTCCGTGACGTTTATCGCTTTGTCACTTTATATAACGCATTAATCAATGTTGACCGAGAGAAATATTTCTTTCAATGTTTTATGTTTCGAGGACGATTCTCAGATATCAGTAACGAGTAATTAGCATCGAATTTTTCAACATTATGACACTATCGGTTTCCCATAAATCCATCGTACGATACTCCGGCGAAGTTCAAATCAAAATTCCCGACGTCCCCAAGCATCGTCGAAAATATTTACATCGTAATTCGTCAAACTCGAGTGTTCGAGAAAAAAAGTCAAAAGTTTCCGTATCGCGTCTCTAGATGCGCCGCCCTTGACGAATTTCTGCTAGTCCCCCGGAAATCGAATCGCAATGAGAAGGCACGTTATTGGAAATGTCTCCGGTATGAGGGGGGGAGGGGAGAGGCTGGTAAGACAGAAAAGTCAGAAAAGCGGATGGAAAGCTCGAGCAGTCGCGGTTGGGGAGGAGGAACAAAATGAAAGCGGGCGAAGAGGATGGTGTGAGAGGCAGGAAGAGGAGGAGGAGGAGGAGGAGGAGGGAACGGAGGAGACCGGAGGTAGAGAAAGAGTAGGAGAGAGAGAGAGAGAGAGAGAGAGAGAGAGAGAGAGCAGTCAGGAACCAAGTAGAGAAGGTAGAGAGTGGCGTAAAAGCGTAGTCGTGTCGCACGTACGCTCGTCTGACGGCGACGTGCTCGGCATCGCAACTCGCGAGAGCGAACGCCGGCGGAACCTAGCCAACCCCCTGGAGTTCTCCACCCCCGAGAGTCATCCCCCGATCCTCCGGCACATCCAGCCCTACTACCGCGCTGGAACCTCTGGAAAGCCGCCCCGCGCGCCCCCGCAATATCCTCGGCACCCTCCCAGCCTCATTGCGAAGACCAAACACATGCTCCCTATCTATCATCAAGATATATTAGCGTCCAACATTTGCCGGGTGAACTCGTCGCTCTGCTGCATTATGCACGAGATGTATGTGTATATTTGTGTGCGCGCTCGTGTGTGTATGTATAGTTCGCGCCGATCTGCGTCCACACGAAAACCGCGCTCTTGTTTTACATGGGCGCTAGCCTTTACGTGGTGGTGGTCCGCTCGTCGGTCCTCTGACCGATGACACGAGGTGTCTTCGACGTCGCGACTGGGATGTCGCTCGCGCTCGGTCACGGAAACCGCGGCTCTCGGTCGTAAATTCGTCGCGGCGAGACTCTCACGGAAGAGAGTCCTCGGCTTCGATGTGGAACGTATTGATACCTGGTAATTCTCGCTCGCTCTTTCGACAATGCAGAGAACACCGTGTGTTCCGGATGGTGTACGTGTATATGCGTGTATATGCGTGCGTCCGCATGGCGAACAAAACTGTCAACAAGCTGATTACTTATCGGGGATGATTGTCCGCGCGGCACACGTGGCGGCGGCGGCGAGCTGCGATTGGAATGCAGGCCGCGCTACCTGCGAAAAGCGCATCGGCGCAGCCGAATGCAGACTGACGCGCGCGCGAGACAGAATTGAACGTTTCGTATGTATTATGCATCGCTAAGCAGGCCGCGCAATTGGGTCTACGTGGCTCGTCCGATGGCACGTAGGCGCACGTGGGCGAACGCACCGCGCGATTCGATGAGGCGCGTCATCTGCTAATTATGTTATTGCGTAATATCGGACAAACATAGTCGCGCGGCCGAACCCCTTTGCGTGCGCGCGCGAGCGCGCGAACCTTTACCTGCGCGAAATCGAATTGCCTGCGATCATTAATGTCCGCTGCATGAGCGAGCAGCAGCACGCTCCGACATATCCGGATGCAACGTATTTTTCCCTTTGTCTTCCCGCGGCTTTCCGGAATTTCGTAAAGTACTCTCCCCCCGACCACCTCTTCGTCCCTTCTGCGAAAAAGAACCGCGCGCGTAAATGCGATACCATAGCGGGATCCATGGCGCCGCAATTAAAATACTGGTGGCAGTGGATCTCCGTTCCACTTAGTGCCGCGGAATTACGAGACGTAAAAAGCTAATTCTCTACTTTTACCGGGTACGTGCTCACGGTGGCGGCGCGGCGGTGGTGGCGGTGGCTGCCGCCGCCGCCGCCGCTGCCGCCGCCGCCTCATAGGCATGCAGGTCCCGAACGCGCGGCGACCGCTCTGTATACCGAATTCGAATCAATTGATTGGCTGTTGATTGGAAATTGAATTAGATCGGAATGTGCGTGTCTGCGAGGGCACAACGGGCGAACAAGGGTGGTCGCCGTCGGGGTGGGGCTCGGCGGGGGAGGTAGCTGCCACTGGTTATGCGTCGTTGATGCTGATGGTGGCGGCGGCAGTGGCGAGGAGAATCGTAGCAGGGTGGTTACGAAAGAGGGGAGAAGCGGAGCGGTCGCTTCTGCCTTTGCTATGCGCGCGGAATATCAATGACAACCACTTTTCGCCGGACACTGGAGCAAATCCACGCCGTGCACTTTGCGAAACCGCTCCTCGTCTCGCTCTCCTTTCTCTGTTTCTTTCTCTCTAGCGCTCTCTCTCTCTCTCTCTCTCTCTCTCTCTCTCTCTCTCTCTCTCTCTCTCTCTCTCTCTCTCTCTCTATCTCTCTCTCTCCTTTCTCTCGGAGTGTGGGCTCACGCTCTCCTTTTCATTGCGCGATTTGCCCCAATTCATAACGCAAACAAAACCACCGGCTAACTGGCCCGGCTTCGTCGGCGGTGTATAGTCGTCGATCAGGATTGTCTCGAGCGATTGTCTTCGCGCGAGGATGGAGTAGACGCGACGAGTGAAGGATTGATCGAATGCGTCGCATCCGATCGTCTTGTCTCGCCATTTTGGGGCTAACGCGAGCGTGGCAAAAGGACATTTATCAGGAATAGCATAGCTAAATATAAGGGTTGTAGAAACACGCGGTGTACGATGCAGTAACCACGTCACGTTGTCACATCCCCGTCGTCCTACCGTGGGACGCTCACCCGACGAGGACCGCATAAATAAACCCGGGTTTACGACAGCGACATAGGGCGTAAGAGAACGAAAACGAGAGCCCGTTCCTCTTCTTTTTCTTCTTCTTCTTCTTGCCGTTACTATTTCTCTCGCTCATCGCGTGACGAGCAGACCTCGAGAAAGCTCGTAAAGCTCGTCCTTGTGGTCATCTCGCGCGTCTTATACCCTTCGCCTCGTCTTGCGTTCTTTGAAAGTAATTCCCTTCTTCCGAAATGCTGCTGTGGCGGTGGCGTTTCGCTACTCACGTTTACGTGAACGCGACGCGTCGTCGATCAGCCGTGAACCGCGCTGACTCTTTTATATGTTGCCGATAAAACTACATAGAGATAGCAAGTTATAGTTTTGCCGAATGCGGATATAGATTCTTGAAAAGTCGTTCCATATAACACATTCCCGCGTACGATACTCGAATATCGTGTGGAATTGACCTTTCGGCTCGGAGGTGACGATTAATTTGGCGCGCGTGATGATATGAAATGCGGAACGCGACATGCTTAGGTAAGAGAAAAAGCGTATTCCGATATACGCGCCGAGACACGTGATAAAACTCTCTTAGACCCCACCACGTGTATCCGCTCGCCGGATTCTTAGTCTACTACTGTGGCCACTTTATACATCACCTTCACCCTACGCTAAGGGCGACCCTTACGCGTTTGCCCTTGCACCGCGAGTAATTCGTTTGAGTTAGGCAACCGAACCAGCTACTAAAAATGTATATTTTATGTTGCAGGCCGACCTGACTGTTCTGAAAAATGATACGCCGAAAGAAATGATCGCGTTGAACGTCTCCGCGCATCGACTGATGACCGATCTCGGTATCTCCGCGCCGTTGATCTGCACAGCCCTCAAGGATGGCGTGGCGGACCTTTATAGGATATGGGATGAGGCCATCCGAAAGTGAGTGCGCGACAGTAATTGTACTGCTTGTTTCCTAAATTACCTTCTATTGGTCGATGTTGCACTTTCCCTTTTCGTCTTTTTTCGGGTTTTTTTTTTTTTTTCTTTTGGAAACACAATTATCTCTAAATGATCGTTAGAGACAGGATTTTACATCATGTAAAGACAAAAATGTTTATTTCAAACGGTTTATTTCTTTTACTTTTATTCAACATCTGTTGGGTATACCAAATGCATCGTTGAATAAATTTGAATAATTTTTATAAGGAATTATCAACCAGTCATTTTCGATCGCTTGGTAGTTCCAGCGTTAATAGTTCGCTGTAGATTTTGGAAAGGATTTCGCCTGTCATGTTGACAGTTTGATAGTACTCTTGATTAATTTGGGGAATATCTTGAGCCACGGGGCTCAACAGGACATTCTGTATAGAATAGTCTGCACCGGGTCATCGACTGGCCGTTTGCTGGTCGACGTGTGACGTTAGGCAAATATTTTGAGAGGTAATGAAGCCACCAAAGCAAACAACGGAAACCGAGAGCGGCATAGGTACCGCCAGTAAGGGCTCTCCTCGTTGGGATTTTGACCCGTGTCGCGGGATTACTAGCTTTAGCGGAGATCGCGTTTAATCATGGACCTTTTTCGAGTGACAGCTCGGACAGAAAGGCGACCGATCGAGATTCGGAAGGGTCAGTGCAATATCATCGACCTCCCTATAATTTCCCGCCTTAATTTTGCCGGTGCTCGCGGCCGGTCGATCGCGCATATTGAATTCGACAATTTAATCTCAATGTATTTCAACCCGAAACGTTACGCAATCATTTTATCAACACAAACTTGTATAAAACGCGAATATCGTCTTTTGTGTGAAATTTTAAATACAAGACACAATTTTAATTCACAGATTCGTTATTTTTCTGCACGATATATTTAACAAAATTAACTTATTAAAATTGACTTATTTCGAGCCATTCGAGTCATTGTATACGAAAAGAAATACGAGCTACATGCAACTTTAACAATACTCTTCCTCGGGTAAGCAACGAATAGTTAGCGCGATCATTACAATCCCCTTTTAATTTCCATATGAGCGCACTCGATCCCCCTCTTTGATGGGGGTTTAGACCATTCAAAGGGGTTTACCACTGACCCATTGGGGTTTGCAGAGGTCAATCCTATCCCTCCGCTTAGTGTGGAGAGACACTTCTATTCTTGGCAGGAGATGATTTCCACAAAAAATAGCCCTCGAGGCCTTTCGACTCATTCGCCTGGTTAATCGGCGATATACACGTGAGAAAAAAAAATATTGCGATAGTTCGGCTAACGTTGTAAAATTGCACGTCTGACGTGAGTGAACTTCTCGTCTTTCTGGCGGATACGCCAATGTGGAGAAGAAACACAAGCCTTCCTCGATTCATTCGATATATTCGCTGGGGGCGTTCAGATTGACCTCGAATAAAGTGTTTTTATTTGCCGATAGCGCCGGAGGGAGGACCTACTAATAATTCGACGTCTTAATGTTTGCCCAACGGCTTTACCGTCTTTCTATGTTTTTTATTGTATTGACTCGCATGATTTTTCCGTGCGGATTTACTTGGTCCTCTTTTCATTCACTCTTTTGAGAAATAATGAATAATTCATTCACGGAATAAAAATGCGCGACAAAAGGTCTCACTGTCGTCGACATATCGGTATGAAATATCGTTCGTTACACAACCATCGTCGCATTATTCTCGGTATTAATCTTGCATTACGTAGCGAATGAACGAGAACTTCCTTTCATATATTATCGATTTGCGATTTAATAATAGGTTTTCGAGTAACACACAGCATCTTTATTACAAGCGCGCGCACCCACGCTTTTCTTTCCAGCGGTTCCAAGCGGCTGCACGTTTTGCAAGCCGTGCAGCAATTCGGCACATGTTTGGCGGAACTCCAGTCAGCTCTGCAGAGGGACAAAGACACATTGGCGGTCCTGGACGTAGCCCTGCAAGCGGGTGCCACCACGGAGGTTGCCTCCTCCGTTCGTCACGTCGCCCGGCTTCTGTCCGAAAAACAAGACATCAATTGCCAGGTACTGTCCCTTTGCTTCAACTCGGCCGTCCTTCGATTGATTAGTAAATAGCAATTAGCGATAGCGATCGCGGAGCCTGTCATACGTTATCGCAATCAATCGCACGGAATCGTGCGGCACTTTCCAAGTTCTCGAATTTACTTCGTCGAATTCGTCAAGGTTGGCTTCTTTTTCCGTTAAATATCCGTGGGTTATAATGTGTGTCCAATTGGACAAAGGAGGATCAAAGTTAGCATAAACTAGGAAATCTTTCCTGAAGCCGTCTGTCAGATATCCCCATCGTATCCTTGATTTTCAATCGGTTAGATGGCTGTTAGCAATTATTCAACGCCGGTGGATGGGGTAACGGTTCCCAGAGGTATCGCTTGTGTGTGTCTGCATAAAACCATTTCCCCGCATAGATTGGGAGAGTCGCAGGTCTCGCAGGGATGTAACTTATCTAAAGGAAAGCGAGATTATAATGCGGATTGTATATCCCGTTTCCAATACATCACGCTAAATCGTCTCGCAAATTGCGTCCTTCGGATTGCGCGCTACAGATTTGTCGCGTAATATCGATCGATTTATTTTCCTCCTTCGATCGATTTATTTCCTCCTTGGTGCTGTCGAGCGCAACGGCCGTCAAATTTTCCCCCGGCGTGACAACACTCAGTGTCACCGTCATTCTGTCCCGATACTTTAAATTCCACGTAGATTCTATTAATTTATTTCTCTTCGGCTATTAAATGTATTTCTTTCCTTGTCAAGTGATATATTTCCCTACAACTGCTGTCGCGTCGTGGAACAATTAAGACGACGGAAATAATTGGAAGTTACGTTACACGTGATACGTAAAAGTTGTATATACGTGCGTCACATATGGCGCACGTCGGGAGATAAATCTTCGACTAGCCTGAACACGCGCAGAGGTTGCTCGAAGGAGAAGGAAGAGGTGGAGGAGGGGTGGAAGAGGCCAGGGGTCGGAGGGTACGTTTGACAGATGATACTTGTCGATATCGCGTCTCCGTTAAACGCCATCACATCCCCCTATTTCCACCATATCCGTCTTTAATTTGCATATAAAGTAAATCTCTTGGCGAGCCCGTTTTACGTCGGTTCTTTGCTTTATGGACGTAAGGTGAGTAATCGAAGGTGCAGCGAATGGCGGCTCTGCAACTACGATTTTCGAGATTGACCCGCTCGTTCAACCTGTCGAGAAGACGTATATACACCGTCTTCGCATGTCTTCGTGCGCTTTAGTAAAAATTCTGCAATCTGCATGGTCGAGCAAGCGACTCGCGCGAAATATATTTCATAATCGCACATGCGGCTAGAAGTGAGCTACAATTTATGAGGAAAGTGAGAATAATTAATGCTGTTGCTGAACGATCGCCGTTATTAATTTTTTCCCTTTGCCATGTGCCAATCATTGTGATACTGAGAACCTTACATGCACATCATCGATATATGTGTGTGTGTGTGTATATATATATATATATGCGCCATATTTACATTATTCTTCATACATGGAGAGATCTTCGAGAGCTCGTATTCGTCGCGCTTCGCTCGATGTGCCGCGCGTATCGCTTGTAGGTGCTTTCTAACAATTTCCAATTGTCCCCGCGCTCATTTCGCCTGTCAAGAAGACGTACGGCCCGCGACACAATACTCTCTCTCCAATAATAGGAGCCTTTCCTTTCGTCTCGTTTCTTCTTTCTCCGTGTGTATCGCGTCTATATTTTAACGTATTCAAACTCCCGTCAAGGCGGTATAATCCGAAAAGTTCTTGGTCTTGCCGATCTACAGCACTCGAGGGAATAATTTCATGCACTTGACATTACGCCTCTCTTTTTCTCTCTCTCTCTCTCTCTCTCTCTCTCTCTCTCTCTCACTCCGTCCCGCTCACTCGTTCCTTCCAACCTTCCCTCGCGACACTCCTCTTGACTCTGCTCTCATCCCCTGCTCCTTTCCACTCACTCTTATTTCAGAGAGAACCGAATAAGAGGGAAGCCTACGATAAAGCACTCGACATTAAATTTTTTTTCGCGTAACGCTGCAATTTTTTGCTTCTCTCGATCCTTTTATTTCTTCGCGTGACGATGACGATCTCCTCGAGCGCGTGCGCGCGGTTATAAAGTGTTTATTTATAATACCGGGAGGACGTGTTTCAGTTTTCGCGAAATTCGATGCGTTCACTTTCGTACGCTACGTGCGTACAATGCCGCTGCACAGGACATGCAATTTTTCACGTCGCGTTCGAATCGCAATTGACAGAGGCGCGCGACGAATCCAGATCAGCTGGTGGCTCGCTCGTTTAGTTTTTCCAGCCGCGAGAAATCCATAAGATTTGATAGGTAGTAAATAAAATATTAGCTGATGTATGCTGGCTGCGCTGTGTAGGGAGCAGATCGAGAGAGAGAGAGAGAGAGAGAGAGAGAGAGAGAGAGAGAGAGAGAGAGAGAGAGAGAGAGAGAGAGAGAGAGGGATAGATAAGTTTTGGCCGGGATACAGCGAGTCCGAGTTGCTACCGAGGGTGTTGGCCATCTCAGAGCCAGCGGCTCCCTAGGGAACTCCGATCGTTAATCGCCCGAACGATTCCCTTTCGCGTCACGTACGGGAATGGCCCGTGGAATCAGCGTAAAAATACAAATTTAATATCAACGGTGGGTAGCTGTCTGCTTGTAGTTCGTGTCGCCTCGAAAATTCCGTTTTGCTACGTGCGCTCGCGGCCGACGGACAAGTTCATTAATCGAGCATTCGATTCGTACGACGGTGCCGCGTTAATAATACACAATAAACATCACATTTCTCTCTCTCTCTCTCTCTCTCTCTTTCTCTTTCTCTCTCTCTCGGACTTCAGGTGCGCTCGCTCCAGGTGGATCCGAACGTGCGCGAGTCGTCTTCTTTTCTTACTTTCGTCGGACGAATCTCCACGCACGTACAACACAATTAAGTCATCGCGTACGAGTCATCTCACAGCGCGGTATCTTGCTTCCGATTCCTTGCGCTTCTCCTTCCGACGAGTCTCTTTTCGTCAGCGAATAAGCGGATCGATTTTTTTTATCTCGCATTCTCGCGGACACGCGCGCTGCGAGATATCTTACGTTGTGTTGCTGTACCGCGCTATGTATGTATGTATGTGTTCCGTTAAATTATATAGTGTATATATGTACATATATGTGCATCACGCACGCTATGTGTATCCCGTTACATTATATATAGTTATATATATATATATATATATATATGTATATATATGTATAATGTATATGTGTGTGTTTCGCCAATGTAACCGGAAATAAGGAGTTCCTCGCAGTTTTCTTTCGCGCGATTGGCCTTTCGGGCAGTGGTGGATCCCGTCTCGACTCACTTCGTATCTACTATCCGTTATACCGGAGTATACCGACTTATATATATAGGTTAGGTTGAAGGTTGCTACTTGGTATGCGGATCGCGCTTTTCATTACCGGAGGCTCGTTCCCTCCGTCTCCACCGTTGCAAACAGCCTAAACCTACCCTTTCTTCCACGCAGCAGCCACCCTTCCCTCGACTGTCTGTCTACTACTCGACCACTACCACTGGCATTCTCGCCGGTATTCGCGCCATGCTATCGCGCTCCTACGTGTGTCTGTGATCCGCGAGAGAGAGAGAGAGAGAGAGAGAGAGAGAGAGAGAGAGAGAGAGAGAGAAGACGCGCGTATATTTCTTTCGTGAAAATATATTGATTTGCTCTCTGCGATATATTTGTATGTACAGGCTGTTAAAAACGCGGGTTCGACACCTGCAGGACAGTCGGTGCTCGTTATACCGAACGAAAGCTGCTCAGGAAGCTCAGGATACAAATGTTTTTCGGTCTTGATTTAACACGAGTTTAACGAACGAGTACCTCACCGTGTTATTGCTTTAATATTTACCAAAGTTCTACATGCTCGATCGCGATGCTTCGTATTACAGAAGTGCGAAGTCTTTAAAAAATGCCTAGTCTTCGAGTCGGTTCGACAGCATCTTGAGCATTCTCTCGTGCAATTACTGATGCTTAAACTTAGTGTATGTTTCACCCGTAAATAATGCGCTCGAGATTTGCGGAGAATCCAAGATATAGCTACATGTACATATTGGCAAGGAGTTTTGCATCGATCAAAGTGAAAGGACTACTACGTGTAATCGGCGACAGTTATCTCGAGGAATCGTATGCAAATCTGCCGAAACGCTCGTTGACGTATCGCGAGACGATCAATTCGGCATCGAACATCCCCGCTTTATTCTCGCTTCTCTTTCACCTTACACACCCTCGCCTTCTCCTTCCCCCTTCGTACTCTATATAATCGTCTTATACGCTTTCCGATGCCCTCCGGTGATGCGCGCCATAGAGGATTATACAATATTCCATATCGCGTCCTCCCGGGTATAACCGCACTTATCAGGATCTCGCGCGCGATCCGTCGCGCGCACTTCGTCGTTTCGCTGTGCTCTCCCGGAGATTTTTCCCTCTTTACCTATTGCTCTCTTTAATCGACTTCCGTGCGATATCGATAACCACACGTCACGTGTGTGAGAGAGACTGCTCGTTCACCCAGCCTTGCGACTCCTACGATCAAAACTGATTGCTAATAACCGTCGGCATATTCGATATATTTTGCAGAATGACACGGTGCTGAGCGACACGACGGCCGAGGAGGTGCACTGCGGGTCTCTCTCGAAATTCACCGCCGCGTCTGCGAATAATCTTACGCAGGAGGGTGGGTCCCTCTCGGACAGCGGGATCTCCGACAGCGGAAGCGAGCAAGAACTGAGCGAACGTGAGCGCAGGTTGGCCGTTCTTCGGCGATTGACGCGTAGCTTGGAGACTCAGTTGGCACCGGACAGCACAGCTCTGAAAAACTGCTGCGAGGAGCTGTGGAAGAGGATCGAGGGCGCCGAGGGCGAGCTGCGCGACCTGCAGAAACAGTGCAGGGAGCTCATCGTGCGCACGAGTGCGGCGGCGAGCGTCGACGCGCGTGCCGCCAAGCGAACGGCCAGCCAGGTCCATCACTTCGCTGAGTGAGTACCGAAACTATCGCTATCCGTGTCGTATTTAATATCCCTTCGTTTCCCGGCTCCGAAACGTCGGCGTGTCGTTGCTGCGCTGTGTACCGCATCGCGCGGCTCTTGACTTCACCGCGGCACGCGCGAGAGCGCGAGAAACGATCCCGAAAGCCGTCGGAATCAACGTCGCAAGTATAATCGCGCCGAGACGTCCATCTGGGTCGTGTAATCGAGCGCCGCCGTTGCCGAGCCGTTGCCGAGCCGTTGCCGAGCCAGATAAATAAGCGAACGCTCGCCAAATTTCCCTATTATTGGTGATATTATTATTATTATTTGAGAACGGGACTCGCCTCGGCATTAAGAACCGTCCTCTCTTCACACACATTCCATTTGCATAACGTCGAAATGGGAAGTAAAGAATGAAGGCGACTATTTAGATGTGGAGACACGAGGTCGTTGGTCCATAACGCCTGGGCAAAAGGCGGCTACTCATTTGAATATAAGAACTCGACCGAGAACTAGCGCGGTGACTGCACCCACTGTCTTTCTAGCGGTGTGTGTACGTGTGCGCGCGTGTGCGTGTGTGTGAAGTATACACGCGGTCTGGAAACTTTAAGAAAGATATGTCCAAATGACAAAGTGAGCAACTGCGCTTCTGCGCTGAAACGGCCGCCTCTGTCTGCCGATTTTCTGCGCATCGCTTCGGATTCTCGGTGTTTCCTTTCGCGCAGCGAGGAAACCGTGCACCATATCACAGCCGTTGTTCATGGCAGCAATCGAGTGAGCGATGGTATCGTCTTTTGTCGTGGAGCAATCCTTTCCTTTGCGAATGAAACGACACTCACGTCGCTCACACCACCGTAGAGCGCGAAGATCTTCTCCTGTCTTCTCCTGTCTCTCATTTAACAAATACAAGCTTACGGCGCAGTTGGCCGATGGCGAATTACTCGAGATTCCAATTATCACCGGCGGCTTACCTTATTTAACTTTGTTTTAAGGACACTTTTATGGCCACGTTCAATCACCGCTCGGTGGCGGCGATAATAGCTTTAGTTTTCGCGAGCAAGTGAAGCATCTGCCAGGCCGAGTCGTAAAAAGAGGCGTAAAAAAGCCGCCAGTTGCCATTTTCTTCGATCGGCGGTCTTCCGTCTCTCGCTGTGTTTCTTCCTTTTTCATCTCGCTGCACATCGTAAAGCGTACGCAGGTCGCGCTTTAACGACAACAAGGGACATTTCTTAAGCCTTTCCTCGCAGCTTGCAAATTAAAGCGGCTACTGGGCGCGAATACTTCGCGGAAAACTTGGAGCGGACAAACTATCCACCGTGCTGCGCACTTACGTAACGCTAATGGAGCAGCGAGCAGGGCATCGCGTTATAATTGCAAGCCCAATTTCGCTACCTCCGAGTTACGTGCATGCATCTCCAAATTGATTCCCCGGCGAACTTTGCTGTTGCTGGTTTACTCGTATTATCGTGACCCGTGGGACACGGGGTAAATTAATTTTCGCACTTGCGCGAACCCGTTCGCGAGTTTCTCCCCTCTTAAACGAGATCGAGTGTATATCTGGCCCAGCCAGCGAGCCAGCGGATTGTCAGGCGCAAAACGGAACGGAACATCGCGAATTACGACTCAACATTCACGAGAGAAGCGTGGAAAATTGATAAGATGCGCAAAGAGTGCACGGAGGGAAGCGTAGAGAGAAACGCAAGAAGTAAGTTTACATCACGAGTTTACAGTACGATTCAAGTGTAACGATTCAAGCTGCAAGACACGAAGGTGCCGCCCCCGTGTATTGCACGACGTAAAGCGCGCGCAAAAATCGGTATCAATTTCTGTGTAAATGAATTTCTTTGTAGGACGAACGGGGGAAGACGTGACGTGAGACGTCGAGCGCGCCGCGACGACGTGTACGGCCGGCGAGTCGCTTGGACCTTCCAAACGTGTGTTTTTTTTTTTGCTTCATATTTTCCAGCAAGCGCAAGAAAGCGTCCGAGCGCGACGCGAACACGCCGAAGAGCGCCGCGTGGGAGTCGGCGGCGGCCGCGAAGAGCAACGCCGTCGCGGACATCTTTAAGGACGACGACATCAGCAGCGAGCTGGTGTCTCACTGCTGGGTCTGGCGCATCCTAAAGGTGGCATTGCCCTTCCAACTCGCGCTGATTGCACTTTTCTGCGCCGCTTGCCTCTTGGAGCCGCATTGCTGCGAGGCCGCCAACACGCTCAACTTGTCGCTCACCCCGCAGCTCCGCTACATCGGAGGACCGCCGCCGGTTTGAACGGCTGTGGACGACGTCAGGTACATGCAGCTAGAGCGGAGGCGATGCCGAATTTCACTAGCGGTTCCTTTCTCGGGCGATGACGATGCCCGTGATCTCTCTCCTTCTCCCTACGTCACGCGGTATCGCCAGTTTTTCTGTGTTTAGCGGCTAAGCTCGGTACAGCGTGTGCGAAGATCGTCCGCGATTCCTATGGCGAGCGATATCGCGGAGTATTATTAGTTTAATCTCGAATGCCCGAATCCGGCGAATCACGCGTGGGAAGGGGAGCATGTGCGCATGCTGCAGCTGCGCACGTGAGAAGCGACTGTTCCTTTCCCATCATTGCATCTGCGTATGTCTTGGTTTGTCTATTTTTTGTTTTGTTTTGGTTTTCCTTCATTGTCTTGTGCCAGGTTACGCGAAATTTCCTTGAAAATTCTTAACTTTCGATCGCAACGAATGTGTGTATCGCGATATCGCAAGGAAATTTAACCGGAGAAATTGTGTAGTTGTTCGAGAAATTATATTTGTACCAATTACGTAATTACGAATGAACGAATGAGATTCGACAAAATTTGCACAGAGAGACAGTCCGGCCGTGAATCTCGAACGTTGCGATTGCAAACACTTGACTGTTTAGCCCCGCTTCGTGGGTATTTCGGCAGCAGTGTGAGACCGAGACGTAAGCAGAGAATTGTTGCGGACGCAACAACGAACTTGGCGCCGGTTACTTTTCCGTCGTCCTGAATTGCGCGAATCAGTGACCTATGTTATTGTTGAAGTATAGATATTTATTTATATACACATATATTTGAAAAGAAAAAGAGACATCGTATATTATATATTTTAATTCATTATATACAGTGTCGTTCGGGCGATAATGTCTGAGTTCTCCTCACGAAGGGGACAAAACCGACAAACGTAAATGGACTCTGTGCGCTTTCGACAAGCTTCAGTCCATTTATATCAAATTTCACTGGGAAATTGCTTGGAGAAAATCTGTGTATTGCTAATCTTCCTCTTTATTCCAAGTATCCTCCCGCAATGCTGCTTTTAGTACATATGTATGGTGGTATCACCGCGATTTTTTGTTCTCTCAACGAAACAACGAATATTTATTGCAAGACTTTTTTCGCCAATGAATCACACATAGTTACGAGAAACGTCAATTACATTAGACGCTATTTTTTCAACGAAATTTTCAAACGAGAAGACTTTTATCAAAAATGGAAAAAAAAACGAAGGGAAAAAAATTAATCAAAAAGCAACGAAACTTACTCGGTGATTCTAAAATGAACCACATTTGTATTATAGAATCTTCATTATTATTCCAATGAAATCATAAGATTGCGCTGCATGTAGAAGAGCACGCACGAGTGTAAATTCTAAACAAACTTGGGAGGGTGTCGAAGTAGTTGCGAAGTAGCAGCTGTTGATGATGCGCTGTGAATGATAAATATAACTTTGCATATTAATAATTTAGATGCATGCGTGTATATGTACAGCGACTGCTATTGCATGCGTTATGTCATTCCTGAGAATATTCTGCCCCTCCCTTTTCCTCCTTCACTTTTATTTTCCTCCTTCACTTTCGATAACAATGTGCATGCTATTGACAGTATTTACTTAATACGTCACATATATGATTGGAAAATATATTCATATATTTCATTTTGATAAAAATTTTAGATAGTAATACATTTTAATAGACTTATGCTCAAGTGCGCGAGCCTTTCAACGAGAGGAAGATACGCGTGCGTCGTTCAAGATCACGAACGACGCGTGTCGACACGATTAGAGTTTTAATTGTAAAAATCTATTTATCAATTTTCCGCCCCTTTTAGACGTGTCTTTGATATTTGAAGACACTTGGGTAAGAAATGAAAATGGTAACTAATATAAATACACTTAAAGAGATAGTAAGCGACTTGTGCTGTAAGAGAGCCGAAAGTTATTTTTTCAAAAGGGAAAATACCAATTTTTTTATAGAAATATGAAAATGTTATAATTTATCGAAATCTATTTTGTACAGACTTTTTAAGAGAGAAAGAGAATACGAGGTGAAGGTGAATGGCTACACCGATGCTGTGGTAACCATTCTCTGAATTATGCGATGTGAGACAAAGAGGGATGCCTTATGGCCAATTATTGAAAGCTTACGATTTGCGAATGCTTACCGTGTAAGCGCAACTGCGTCTTAGCGTAATAATTCCGATCCGTACTTGTGCAGATCTTAAGCTCCTCATGAGGGAGGCGATAACGTCGGTAAGTCCATCTGGTATTATGCGGACTGTGTATAGAAGTAGTGAATATAAAAACGGTGTACATATAGAGTAACTGTAATTGCGTATAGTAACGGTGGTGATGATGTTGTGTTTCATGGTTCAAAATCAGATATCACTCGTAACAGGACACCATATACATACACGTACACATACGCGTACACGTACACACACACACACACACACACACACACAGCGACATACAATTTACGTCATTTCTTCTAAAGCATAGAATCATAAACACAGCATCATATCACCGTTACTTTACTTTCTAGATGTTTTGTGAATTTTTGTTTTATATTGTCTATAATTGCGGTAAGATGTCGCAAACAGTTTATTTTTTTTGTTTTTTTTTTTTTATGTAAGTACCATGTGCTACGATTACGCTCGATCTTGCTTGGACTTGATCCGACGCTTAAGTAGAAAAGAAAACGAGAAAGGGAGAGATGAAATACGTTAGATAGGGATGAAGAGTACTACCGATCAGTATCGATGTCTTTTCGACGAAAGAATTCATACGCGTCAGCCGAATATGTTCTTTAGATTTTGACGCACTCTAAGTCACATCGTAGTGGAAGCCTCGTATACTTTATCTGAAAGTATATCGCGCTTCTTGGGAGACTGAAGTTAACAAGATGATCAGAAAGGAAGAAGCTACTTTCGCACGTCTTGTGTCATATTGATGAATCGCAACGGCGACTATCTCGAATAACGAGTATTTACGAGAAGTATGAGAAAGGGAGAAAGAGATGATGACGATATATATATATATATATATATATATATATACGTGAAGAAGGACGTTGATCCTTAAGTATTCATTATGTTTTGATCACCCATGCACGTGACGTAAATTTAGCCAGCAGATTGATCGTGGCTTTAGTTGCGATCGACGTAGAGATACTATGTCAAGCTTCACACGATCTTGACTCGCTATAATGGACTTAGATCAGAACCGCAACTTGATATCATTTCATTATACCGTAATGAGACTGCAAAGTTTTTATTTCATTAGCTTCGAAACTGAAGTTATAACTAGAAACATCAGAAAGAATATAAGATGATTCCTACGACCTAACTTGAATAACAGTATCTTTTCAATTTCGATGTTTTTCCTACGCTAATTTCGCTCGATATGATGTAGCGATAAAAATATAATAGACTTTTTAATTGATTTACGTGATCGATATTCGGTCTTTTTTTCTTTTCGTGGAACTTTGAGAAAATCCACGTAGAAAGTTTTAATTTTTCCTTCATTTGTAACACCAATCTAAGACGATTCTATATACGAAGAGAACGAATCATTCTATCGAGCGTAAGAATTTGTTGGATTATAATTATCCGATAACGAAAGTACTTACGTATCATGATTCGTAAGTAGGAGCGGCGATTATTTAATTGCCCGTTATTAGATAAACGACTGCTTATAATGGCGTCGGATGTCTTTCGATAAAATATATTATTACGACAACGTAGTCGTGGTCCCGTTATCGCAAAAGCAATCGTTCGAAGAAACGAAAATCTCTGTCTTAACAGAAATCGCAATGGGACCCAATAATGAGAAGTGTGACTTTGCACTTACTTTTAAAGCATGGCGATCTGATTTGAAGACTTATACACGTATTACATTTGAACTATCATAGTATTACAAATTGATGGAGTATCGCACAGAGATTTTTATCCAACACGTGACTTAAAATGCTATCGGTATCCTTAAGGAACGTTCAGTAGCAAAAGAAATAGTTATCTTCAACAAACAAACGTCAGAAAATATCTTTAAAGATGAAAGTAAGAAGAAAAAGAGGAAATTTAATAAAGACGCAAATTTAAGTAAAACGTTTCTGAAGTCGTATCGATAGTTATTTCAAGTAAAACGTTTTAAATGCATTCTGCTCGTGTCGCGAACGCGAGGCGATTTTATCTGTCTTACATAAAATATAAAAATATGTATAAAGTACCTGAGAAATCAAAACGTTACTTATATTATTATCTTACACTATGTTACTTTATCTACACTACGCGGTTATTGAAGGAATACTTGGTAATATTGTAACGTTCGTATCACGCTTATCATTCTTTGTCGCAGAGTATATTTATCTTTATCTATTATTAGGTATACTTTGCATGTGTCTTTGTATTGTCAAACGGAGCCACCTTGCACCGTGTATGCACGGGGTTGTGCAAGTGATGCTCCAGAAAAAAAAGAAAAAAAAAATAGAACTAAAGGAAAATATTCGCTTCGATAAGTGCGAACAATGTATTACGATATTCAGTATCTTCGAGAATCATCGTTTGTCTTACGGAGATATTACATCGAGTTGACAATAATATATTTTTGTGAAAGATATTTTCGATCTGCAAGGTATTACCGCAAGCATTTATATATGAAATCTTTGTAGAGATTAATTGAACGGACGAAATTGCGGAGGAAGTGGGGGAAGCGGGAAAATTGTGCGGTCGCATATCACGAATTCTCTCGGTAAGAAACGATATTCTCGAGAGCCGCTAAAGAGTTACATTATCGATAATATACCTAATAAAGTAGACATACGTAGGTGTAGCAACGCTTCTATTTGAGGCACGAGTGCTAAACATAATTTGTGTAATAACTTGCAGCTATAATTGCGAAAACAGGGTAAAACGTAACGGCGATCGGGGATATCTAGATATCGCGTTTCACGCTCAAATAGAAGCGATGGTATCGGATGCCAGTTCATTATATGCTAATAATTATAGCGTTATTATACATCTTTCACGACGAGTTATAACGACGGACTAGTTTCTCCTCTCCGTCTATCCCACTGACGTCTTTGCAATTTTCATGATACTTCTCTCTCTCTCTCGATTACTTACAGATTCTTCCGACCTCTCGACGGAAGTGTTTCTCTCACTCAGCATTAATAATCTCAGCATTTCTCGAATACTGCCTACATATATGCGATAGAACACGCGCAAGTCATGTAGTCACTTTGCGATACGGACGTAGCTATCTAGATTTACAGTCATTTTCATTTCGGCTCGATGATTTACTGAGGGCTGAGGTGAAAATGACTCGTACTACCGCAGAGCACTTGCGCGCATATCTTCGTGTAACCGGCCAAATCATCAATTGACTCCGCCCGCCGCGAAGTGTTCGCGGATCCGCACTTCTGCATTTCTGCTGCAAATCTATCGTATCAACGAGATATATATCACTGTACAATTACGAGATATTATGCCAATATGAATGAAATGTTTTCCACGGTTTAAAGTATTATACCACACCTTAGAACTTATCCTGAATAAATTTTGGATTCTTGTTCACAGACGTTTGCGTTTTTATGTATAACCGCACCTTTGTTGACCCGTACGTACCGCAGGTTCCGTTCGGCGGGACTTGAGAAGATTCGTAACAACAAGACCGAGAACATTTTTCCGTACACGAAAATGATACATGTCGTCGCGCAATCCCCTGACAAAAGGGGATTTACGATTTGCGGCGTACCGCCGAAAGTTCGACGCCGGTACGACGTTACGCCAAGTATATCCGCAATAATAATGCGCCTGCAATTGATACAGAGGTACGATGATTGCCGTGTTCCTACGTCCGTTTGCGGCGGCCTCAGTGAAGTCAGCACGAAGGTAGGGATATTAGAGGTTAAAGGGCACACCCACTATGTTATTACGACTCACACCTGTATCCACAGGTAGGCCAGCGCGGAACAATTTTTCTGCTTAAGAGAATCTACTTAATGGCATAACGCTGGGGCCCTTCGACAACAATAAGTCTGAGGCTGTAAATAAATTATTATTGCCGTTCTACGGACGCGCGCGCGCGCGCGCGCGAGTGTCGCGCTCGATGGATTCTATTATTTATGCACGGCCTGCAGTAACACTGGAAATGCAGAAAATACGATAAATCGGCGGGACGTAGAAAAATTGTGAAACTACACGAAGAATACATTCTCGGATAATAATTTGATTATTCGCGAGGAGAAAATCTAAATGAAGAAATGATCTCGCGGAGAACGAGCAAGAAAGTATTTTCTCGCGGAAAGAAACAGGACGGAATTATGTAGTTTGACGAGAAAACAGATATATAGCTTATATTTCATATTATTATGATTACATTTCCCGACACGTTTCTCTGTGCGACGCACAGTCGGCGCCGCACGACGATACTGAATTCGTCGCTCAACTGGCAAAAACTTAAATTTACGAAGTGGCCATTTCGCGACGGCAGGGAAAGCCCTGCGTAGAGCGACAAACGAGCGAGGACTGAATTATTTTTTACGAAAAAGTGCCTCGAACGAGCAAATGGGCCGTATCGTACTGCCGTTCTATGACTCCTACGGGGTTTATCCGTCCCTTCTTCCTTTCGTTGTTTCCTCTCTATCGTCTTACAACCCCTACTTCAACTCGGCTTACTTAAGCAAGCGAGGTCACCTCCTCCGCCCACCGGAGTCACCTTGGCAAGGGTTGAGCGCTGGGCGAGCTGTAAATTACCAAGAGGGCATTTTGATTAAATTTTTTATGGTAGCCGGCCGGTTACGATACGAGGGGCTGACGTAACTCCGGCTGATTTAATGTGTGCGTTACTCTACGGGCGTCGCTTTTATTTATCATTCGCGCGGCAAATCCCTGATTAGAAGTAATAATTTCGAGCCGAGACCGTCGGAGTTTCTTTTGCGCAGGGTCAAAGAATCTTGCGTAGAATCCGACGCGGTCATTGTGCGATAGTTTGTCGCCGACAGTTGAAATCACGCGACAGAGAGGGTCGAATATTAATATTCGTTAAAATATGTTTTGTTTAATCAATATCAACACAGCAAAGAAGGTATATTGAAAGCGATTTAAATATTATTTATTTCATAAATGCATATAAAAATAATGCATATAAAAATAGTAAGTGAATATATAAGAGAATTTTTATTCAATTTATACAATTTATTTTTAGAGAGATTAATCGAGTGAAATTTGCGATCAATTTGAAATAGTCATAGTAACTTGCCCAAGCGCTTATTCTTTTTTTTTTTTTGCTTGTGGTTCTCACAAAATAAGGGATTTATTAACCCCTTGTACTATGATTTAAGTCGCAATAGCATGTGCCAAAGTCGGTGATAAAGTTGCATCTGTAATGTCCAGTCTACATAAATCGCAAGTCACAAAACGCAAATCGCAGACGCACAGAACATTGACCAAAACACGTAAAAATTGAACAACTAGTCGTACTTGTGTTTCCTATGTCTGGCCCGCAAACATACGATGAGAGTCTTACTCGTGCTCGTATATTTGGTCCGATATACGTACCACGAACCTGACTCGTGTTTCTTATTATCACGTGTCTCACACAATATTATAGGACAAGGGCTTAACAAAGAGAAATATTCTACTGCTAAGAATAATAAATGATTACTCAATTTATTTTCCTTTTCTTTTCAATAATGGTTATCTTCAGCACAAAAAATATTTTCTCGACAATAGTCTTCAATTACACTCAAAAATTTGAGGAAAGCTTATTATCATGCAAACAAGAAGTATTTATTTTTCTCTTAAAAAACGCGTAAAATCTTATGTAGCAGAAAAAGTAAAACAATTTTATTCTAATTTAATATTTAATATTTAATATTGAGGAGAGAGGCTGCTAAATTTACTAGGATTCAAAATGTATTTTGGGTAAATTGTTATATTTATATGATGGATTTATGATAAATTTGTGGATGTATAAACTTGTGAGATATTTAAAACCAGTAATATTTACTCGTGTGAGACAAATATTCTTTTTCCTCTCTTTCTTTACTTGTTCGCCCCTTTTTCCTTTTCTCCCCTCTCCCCCATTTTTCTAAATAAAAAGTGCCGTCGATCTGTTGTGAACAGCTTTGAAGGAAAACATATAACTGTAATAAAAATATTGAATCGATTCTCGTTTTTAATAACCTAACCATTCACATCGTACGAGGTGTGAGTATTGCATATGAAAATCCGAAATGGGCGTTCGGAGCGTTGAAAAATAATAACGATCACAGTGAGGTCAATGGTGGGGAGAACGATGTGTTTACGTTTGGAAGACAGAGAAGCGGATCGTAAAAACAATGTCTCGCGATAGAGTTAGTTAGTCAGTCGCTGTTGGACGCCCAAGGTAGACGTGCCATCACCACTCGTGCAGAAGGTTGGTGAGAGTTAATCGAATCATTATTTTCTAATATTCCACGGGTGACCGGGATCGAGCATTGTTCCCTTACACAATTAGTTGATTTCTCTTAATTCCGAATACCGGTGTCGTCGTGCGTTTCCCCTTCGACACCGGTCCGATTCAGATGTTTTCTTGATCGCTAGACCGGGCACGCCGTGCACTTTCTCGGGGGCCCGGCATGCGCATTCCCGAACTCGAACCGCCATTTTTGATCAATTGTCGCGTGAGGTAATTGCGCGAGAGCCTGACTCGAAGGTGCTCTAGCCTTCGGCTAACGTCTCCGTATCCCGTTCAATCTCCCGTCCGCCGACGGGCTGAATTATATTATCGTTACGCTATCTATTGTTTTTTTTTGTGTTTACTACCTCGAGCTGCTCGTCTATTCATTCAGCTCTATGTATAAAGCAAATAAACAAGAAAAAGAAGAAAGGTTCATATCTCTCGCTCCCGTGTTGTTCATACATCTTATATCTTACTCTTACACTCGTATATATTTTTACGTGCGTAGGCACACATACGCAGCGAGGACGGTCATTCTCGCTGGCGAAAATAGTATTTGTTTACATTAGAGACCGTCAATTGCTCAATACAATCTGTTTCTTATCGTTAGTCATTATCTATTGATATCCAAATGGGGACGCGCGCAGCCATGGACGAATATGTAAACACGAAATGTGTACCTGCCATTTAGCGTCTTGACGTACACGTAATTACGCACGATTATAGCTACATAATGTTATCGTTATCGACGATCTGATGGGATTGCTTCGCCCCAAATGGAATCCACGCCGACTTGTGTATGAGAGCGAATCGAGTGCTCGTACGGTTCGCTCACTACGAGTACGAGTACGGTTCCGTTCGCGTCCGACAGCCCCGTCGCTCATGAAACGTCCACTAAGGGACGCGTTCAGTCGTCCGCGAGGGCGAAGTGGCTCAACAAGTGTTACGTCAAAACGAGCTTGCGTCTACGATCCGCGTCGATCCGCGGGGGTTAGCGACGCGCTTGTCCGTCCCGCCGCGCGAGACGGTCAACAGGGGCGTTCCCGCGAGCCCGCGAAGTCGCGTGGGAGAATCGCATATTAATTTTGTCACCGTTACTTTTGCCATCCATGACTCCCCTCCCCCCCCCCCTCCGTTCTTCTCCTCTCTCCTCGTCGAATCTCCCGATCTGTCTCGAGGATCTCGAGAATCTCCAGAGGTCTCTACATCTCCGAGTAGTCGACCGCGTTGACATTAGCCGGTTCGACAAGCCGGTCGCGATCAGCTGATTTCCGTGTCATATCCCTACAAATATCGACATTACAAAGATTAAATTAAAACGAACATATCGAGGTGTCTCTCTCTCTCTCTCTCTCTCTCTCTCTCTCTCTTTCTCTTTCCATGACGAAGCGAGAGGGGTGGGATGTTGTCGCGGCGATAGCCGCGGCCGCGGAGGGACGAAAACAGGGAGGAAACGAGCGCGAGAGGAGACGATGAAGAGAGAGAGAGAGAGAGAGAGGGAGGACGGTGCTCTCGCGCTGTCGGGCGCGCGCGCACGTGGTCGCGAGAGGGTGAAGCGGGCGGCGGTAGGGAGCTCCGGAGGAAAGAGGGATTCCCAGGGAGGGAATGGAGGCGGGAGGTATCACGTGGGCGCGAGTAGGCCGAGGCTCCGCCTCCGCGAAGTAACTCGGAATACGACGCGTCATTCATGGCCGAGCTAAAGGCTGCGCCACTGTTCGGGTCCGTCCGGCTGCAGCAGAGCGGCTCGCCAGAGGATACTACGGCGCGGCGGACACCTGTCTCCCCCGCATCCGCGTCCGCCGGCGGTTCACCACGTCGCCGCGTCCACCGCGCTCTCGCGTTCTCAGAGTCAGCAGCTCGCGGCTGCCGAGCCAGACGCGCCGCGCGACGACGACGACGACGACGACGACGACGCTATGCATCCACGGCGGCGTACACGGCTGTTGTTGTACCGCGTCCGTCGCGGATGAGAGGGACGCGACCGGTCGACGGTGCCGCGGCGGTCGGAAGACCGACGATCGGAGAAGCCTGCCCGGCCGGCCGACGTGACGACCTCGACCTGGTCGACGGGGAGAGGCCGGCGCCCCCCCCGAGGGTCGCGGGCACGGCTGCGGGCACGGGTGGTGGTGTGCGGGCGAGGGTGCTGCGAGGGTGTGTGAATGACACGCGAGACACGCACAGTGCAAGTGAGACAGCGGTATACAGCGGTAGTATAGTAATAGTATAGTAGTAGCGCGCGCGGTGGTAATACGCAGGCAGCGGCTCCGCGCGGCGCGGCGCGCTTTTTTTTCCTTGTTTGTGTGAATTATCGCGGAAGAGAGTGCGCGAGACATCGGCGACACGACGGAGATACCATCGACATTCGTGGTGGAAGGGTGGCGGATGCACCGCGGAGGCGGCGGAAGTGCCGGAGGCGCAGCCGGGGGTGGTATCGTCGGTGGTGCCGGCGGAAGTCACCGAGGCCTCGAGTTGGAGCATCCCTCGGCGATGCCGGGTGCACCTGGTTTCCATTGGGGGGCCATGCTCGCGGGTCACCATGCGGCCGCCGCCGCGGGTATGATGCAGCCTCCCATGTCGGCGGGTGGTGAGTACGTGCCCGCTGCGGCGCACCATGGACCGGCTCATCCCGCGATGCCGATGGACCTGCACGTTCATCAGGGATTTCCCTATTACAGGTTAGTGATGCTCGCGCTCTCGTTTCCTCTCCTCCGCCCTCCTCGCCTCGCTGCGCTGGAGCTGCGCTGGAGCACCGCATGGCCGCCGACGACGTCCGCGACGCGACGCGACGCAGCCCTCCTCTGCGTCTCGTACTCTTGCCCGACTTGTCTTCCAACGAAGTCGATGAAACAAAGTGTACGCGCCGGACACACGCATGCGATATACTTTGCTCACGAATCTTTTCTTAGGCTATTTGCATTATACGTATACGTACACACGCACGCACGCGCCAAGTCTCCGTGCGTTTTCGAGCTGGTCTTCCGCTTTCCTAGGCATTTTTCTCGCACGGTTCGGAGGAACGATTTGAACTCCGTAATACCGCAGAGTCCGTCGCCGTTGCATCTACCGGTCGCCCCCGGTGTAGATGCGCCGGCAAATGGAGAGGTCGCTTGTCTTAGCCTCGGCTATTTGCCCAGCAAATATTTCTTCGCCGGGGAAGTACTCCCATATTTGCTCATTTTGAGCAAACACTTGGAAAAGAGCACTGGATATTTTTCAATTCGTGCGCGAGTATTCTGTTAATCGCGACGACCGCTGTCCGGCGGATCCTCCCATCTTGCTGATTACAGTCTGCTAGCCGAGACGGTTTCATCTCCGCGACGCTCCACCCGACGTGAGAATGGATCTGGTCCCTCGCGATTTTTCGCTCCCTCAAAGAGAAGGAGAGAGAGAGAGAGAGAGAAGAGGAAGGAGGGAGAAGTTCGTTGATCGTGTGAGAATTTCAGAAATTATCTCACACACGTAGCGCGATTAACGTATACATGATACAAATATACACACGTGTGGAATCCAACGCGACGCGTCTCGCGCGCGTGGGATCAACGATATCGAGGCGCTCATTATTTCAAAACGCAGCAATATGTCGTTCCCTCCCGGTGCGCGCCACAGACGGAGCTTTCCATCCTTCCACCGTAATTATTAGCACTCCATGCCCATACGGCGCGCGATGTACAATCGCTCGGAGGAAAGCAACGCGTAAGAACAGTTCTCGTAATTACACTCCTCGCGCGCGCTTAATACCCCGGCAAATTGTATTAAGATTTTTTTCACTCCGTCACGTGTAACTACTAATCTGCCCGGGGAAACTGGCACATGCACGTTCAGCTGAAAAGTTTCAGGGGCCTCCGTGTCTTCTTGTCGCACGTGGTCCAGCCGGGGTTCTGTTTTTTACCTCGCGTCTCGTCCGTGCGCGCGCGTGAAATTCGCCGCGACGCGCCCAGTCGAAATCGGCCCGCAAGACATCCTCCTTTCGACAGCCACCACGTAATCGATCCCGCTGAAGGATTGTTTACATTCGCTCGTTGTAGTGTAAAAAAAGAAAAGAAAAGAGAGAAAGAAGAGAAAAACGCGCGCGTACGCGTTAACAGCTGCGATTGTTCCGCAAGTCGACCGACGACGACGACGACGATGACGACGACGATGGAGATGCCGGTATCTCCGGTGGCGATCGAGAGAGAGAGAGAGAGAGAGAGAGAGAGAGAGAGAGAGGACGTTAAAAGAAAAATAAACGGAGAGAGTCGGTCTCGTGCGCTCTTTTGCAAACGCGATGTGTCCACGTGATAGGCAATCGTGCCCATCAATCGCCGCTGCCAGCGTCGGGACTGAAGTAAGCAAATTACGTGCTAATAAGTATCGGAAAGAACACTCGTGACGCACCGAGGGGCGTGCGAATATGCTAGACGCGGGGCACACGCCGGGCAAAAAACTTATTATAATGCCGGGCTCGTACGAGTTATTAGCATTCCGCTATCAATTATCCTGGCTGTCGCGCTTTCGATGTTGGAGCAAATAGCAGGGACGTCTGTCACGCTCCGTATTTATGAGACGTATAATCACGGCGCTCATCGTAACGAGGAAAATCTGTAAACGGGATGTGCCCCGAAAGCCACCACGCTGCGGCCAGCAGATATTAAGTTGACAATTAACTTTTTGCACCGGCGCGGCGGGCGCAGCGGGGAATGCAGAGGCGTCTTCGCGACTTCGCCAGACGCAACATTCCCTCGATATCCTTCCATGCACCGGGCAGCTGCGTTGTTCCTCCTCATTTCTCTCTCTCTCTCTCTCTCTCGTCTCGCTCTCTTACGCGCGTTTTCTTTTCAGCGGATCGCCAACAGGTGTGTAACGCGTAAAACGCGCATCGCGAGTAGCGAAAGGTAGATCGCGGAGGTATGAGAAGAGAACGATCGGTCCTCCTGTTCCCCGATTGATTCTACGATTCATCTGTGATGTCGCGCGTGTTAGAAAGCAAGTCTGCCGCTTTCACGATTTTGAGCCTCGGCTTCGTGGTATGTAACGCACGAGTGACACTGACGGATCGTCTCCCGTACGATTCCGCGTGCGCGCTCGCGCTCGCGCGAGCGGAGTAGCCGAGTGTTTTGTCCTCTGTGATTTCAAGCCGGCACCGCCGCGCCGCGCCGCGCCGGAGCTCTGCCGATCTGTATCGTCGGCCGGCGAAATCAATAGGTGCGTGTTCTGGCGCGATTCATTGGCCGATTATGTCACCGATGATTCACGTTACGTCGCGCTCGTGATCCGCTGTCGCGTGCTCGCTCGACGACGACGACGACGACGAAGACGACGACGACGACGACGACGACGACGACGACGACGACGACGACGACGACGACGAAGACGACGCCGACGACGACGTGCTCTCGAATCGTTCCCGCGAACGAGTCGCGCGCGTTTTCCACGCAACAAATAGCGCGACGGAAATTCCACGCTCGTCGCGTTTGTTCGCGCCGAGAGAAACCGGTGAAACGGTCGCAAGGGAGCGCGCCACAGAGATGATAATTCGGCGAAAACGCGCGCGGCGGCGTTTGACACGGATTCGCGCCGATGTGAGTGACGAGGACGACGCTCTCTCGCCTGTCAGGTCGAGTTAGCGTTAGCGGCCGTACCGTAACGTTTGCCACAAAAGTGCGGCATTTGCATCTTGGCTCTTTGGAGGAGCCGCTCGCTCGTGTGCCCCCTTTCGGCGGGAAAACGAATCGAGCGAACGGCGCGCCCGCTCGTGTGCCCGTGTCTCTACTTTCGGGCCTCCGGTCTTTTGTTCGCTTTTGTCGAATGAAATGTTAATGGCTCATCCTCGCTAACGTACGCGATACGATTTACAGCGGATTAACGCGACACTTGGTGCCCCCGCGACGACCAAGCAAGATCGTGTCTCGTCCGTTCGGCATCGGAAACGCGCGACAACAAAGAGCCCATTGTCGCGCAGAATGCGTCGACAATGTGTGCGCGCCGCCGGTGTGTCTTACGACGATTATGATATTGAGGCTCGGAACTAGCGCGATGGATCTCGCACAGGGCTCTCGATACACGCACGAATCCCCGACGCTTAATATTTATTCGCGAACATAACAATCGGCTCGCAGACTGCACGCGCGATACGCTCTCGATGGCTCGTCTTGAGGATTGACAGGCACTGTCCAGATATACTGTCAGCGTTTGTGTCAGCGCGCACGCGATTATTCTGTGACGCAAGATCGCCTGAAAATTCCGCCGCCCCTCCCCTCCCCCCTCTTTTTCGCATCGCGAAAAGAAGCGATCTCGGCGAGACGCGAAGCTAAACTTCGGAGGACGCCGCGCGTTGAAGTGAATCTGTGGACGACAACTCGTCGGGGATTCGCGCCCCTTCCCGATTATATTTTAGTGTTTTCTTTGTTTTTTTCTTTACAGATTCGCTCGCGAATACGCGCGAACGCGACAGCCGCGAAGAGCTCACGATTCGTAAGGGAGAGCAGCGAGCTTAATGATTTCTGCTTTGCCGCGTTCGTCCTTCGCGCGGAAATTCGGTCTAATTATCGCCGGCGCGGCGCGTACGTGTGCGTCCGAAGACACGGAGACACACGGTCGCACAGACATTGAGAGCGTTATTGAATGATGGGTCAGCCAACTACTAATGGGGCCGGACGCGCGCGAACACAAGGGATTATAAGAAGCGCGAGTATGGCTTGCGGCGAGTCAAGGTTGTTGCTGGAGTTACTCCTCGCGCATTACATATCCGCCACCGATGAATCCCCCCCTCTCTCTCTCTCTCTCTCTCTCTCTCTCTCTCTCTCTCTCTCCTCTCTCTCACTCTCTCTCTCTCTCTTTCTCTCGCCTTTTTCCTCCTATCTCGGCAAAAGTGTTATCGAGCGCGCGCATCTTTTCAGATTTACACTCGCGATAAACGCTACGCGTACGTATACGTCCTTTCGGGAAGGGAAAGGGGGGGAGGAAGAGGGAAGAGAGGAAGAGAGCGCCGTTCGCACTCGTTTCGAGCAAGTCGGCTAAACGACTGCTAATCAGCATGATGCCGAGCAATTAGCGGCGTTAAATCGCCCACAAGTGACGATTCTTCCTCGTTATCGCGTCCCGTTTATTTTTACCACTACGGAAGTTTATTTCGAACCTTGGGGGGAGCAACGTTGTACTGTGTGCCCCCTCGAGCCCTCGATCGGACTCGAGGCCAGGGGCATGCATAGTTTAGCGCGAGGTCTTTGCCCTTGCAAAGCCCTTAACGTATGGAGAAAGAGACAGAGAGAGAGAGAGAGAGAGAGAGAGAGAGAGAGAGAGACTCTGCGGAGCGTACTCGATTCGAGCGCGATATCGTCGCAGCCGCAAGTTCCTCGCGAGGTGATCCACGAGGTCTCTGTATGTGCGGCGCGTTACTCGCGTAAAAGCGAGCTCTATTATGAGTTAAACGGATCTCGCGTAGTTACCGGAGCAAAGAAAGCCGAGGCATCGCGAGGACGACGCGACAGTCGACGGTAATACGACGAGTACAACGACGACGACGACGACGACGACGACGACGGCAGTAAGTACAACGACGACGTTGCTGCTACAGATCTGTACCTGCGGCCGCCGAGGCGAGGAGACGCTGTTCCGCTGCCTCCTCGCCTCGGAAGCAGGCTCTGGCTGCCGATGGACCCATCGGATAAATAACTCGGTTGCGTTTTTATCGGGCCGA